GAGGAATATGAAGCGATCTTGTTGGTTGAAATGGGTGGTTCTTATAGACTAATTGTAAGAGAGAAAATGATGGACTAACTATAGGGTCTCTCGTGGGTTGCCGTTAATTAGTCTATCACCCACCTCCTTTGTCCATTGCAACATCCACATCCACCAATAGGATACCTCCATGTCTCTCTTGCCTTCTTTGTCTATAGCTTTGTCTATCAATTTCAATAATCGGCTTGCAGGGGCGCTTCGTCCTGACGCAAGTAAGACAAGAGCATCCCTCGAAAGTTTTTTTTTAAGCTGTACCTTAAGAAATGAAAAAAAAAAATGTAAAAATTAAAGTTTGGAGGTATCAGGAGGGTAAGAATTAGTCACCTCATAATATTTTGAAAACGTTTTAAATATTGAAGTGGAATTGAAAAAAAGGGTCTTCGATGAGAATTTTTAATATTTTCCCCTATCACATCATCTTTGTCATCCAAGAATATTTCTAAAGTTACATACCATTTCAATGTAAGGATCGAAAAAGCGTACGTACAAATGGAATTATGATGGTGAAAAAAGTTGGGATCAAGAAGGCACCACGGAACAAAAAAAGCACTGGGTTGTTGGATGATATGGACATTTCCAATTAATTGCGGTGGTACCCCATTTAATTTTGGTAGTAATCCAATAAACTAGAGTACCTACAACATACTAGGTTACTAAATTTATGTACTTTCAAATATATTTTGGCAGTTTTCCAAAATTCAGGGTTACTTAAGAATAAAAAATGTTTCAAAAAAATCGAAGTACCCCCAAGAATTTTTCAAAGCGTCTCAACCTAGTGACCAGGACCAAAGCATTTCTAAAAAGTCTAATAAACATACGTTACGCGTAGCCGATCCATCAACTATTGTTGTTAGAGGAGAGATATGTAAAATGGGTTGCCATTTCGGCTGATGCTATTGTAAGTAATAGGCTTTCACTATCGGCTTATTTGCAAGCTCGTCTTCAAAAACGTGTCCATATTGGCTCTATGCGCCGACCAAGAACGATCTGTCGCCTGGCTAAGCATCAATCATGACATTTCACAGTGCCGTCTGTCGAGATGCACTCTCCTTGCGTTCGAGATCATCATCCGACAACAATAATTTTAAGGTGCTTGCTCTTAAACCTGCCATGAATGGTGTTCGTCGAAGGGCGGCGGCTGTGTAGTTTCTTCTGCGTTTCATAGTGAAAGCTCTTGATCCGTAATTTAACCACGCTTTTTTTATCGTTTTTTTTTTTTTTTTTTTTTTTTTTTTTTTTTTTTTTTTTTTTATTCTATTTTTATCGTTGGTATCTCTGCAACCAAGATGGTGATTCTTTTATTTTCCCTGCATATGATAGAAAATCGTTTTTATTTTTGCTTTTATTGTAGCACGTATAACACTGGATAAAAACACATTGGATCTAGAGTCCAGACTCTTAAAAACATTGACATGACAAGTAAAAATACTCGCTTGATTCAGCGTATCATGTTCAGCGCCTTCAACATCGCATGAATACTTCAAACGCTACACCATTTCACATATTTCGACGTGCATATTGCCTACACTGTGCCTGCCGAAGTGCACACCGCACAGGAAAAAAAAAAAACACATTTGATCTTTGGTCCAGACTCCTAAAAACATCGACAAGAAAAAATACTCTTGATTCAATCAGATTTAAGCTTAAATAAAGAACCAAGCCTCTTAATTTGAGCGGATTTCCTTTTGATTTAAGCTTAAATCTGATTGAATCAAGAGTCCTTTTTCTTGTCAATGTTTTCAAGTGTCAGGACTCTAGATCCAATGTGATTTTTTCCAGTGAATTATTTCACTTCGGAAATTACGGGATGGGTAGATCACTCAGTATTATGGAGTCTACATGACAAACAAATTTTCAGGAAATTGACGGAAGAGCTCGGAGAGTTCTTTTCGCGGTGTTTCCTTTTTTCATTCTAAATTTCAAGGCATTTTCAACCAGCTTTTATGAATTATCATTACCTTCGCCTTTTCGAGTACGCCGGGAAGGTTTACTCATGCATAACTGCTAGATCTTCAGACATGCGGATAAGATGCTCAGCTTACTGCTGGTTCTACTTCTCAGAATTGTGGACTGCATCAGACAAAAATATGTTCAGAATATTGACGAGGATCTTCGAAGTATCTGAAAAAACGTTTTTGGGGGTTTCCTTTTTTCCTTGTTTGGGGCTGCTTCTCTCCAACCTCCGTTTTTCCTCCCCTTCTCCATTTTCGAATGGAGTATTAGGTGCCTTATCAGGATATCAACGGTACTCGAAGAAATTATTGATTGTACCCCTGAATTGCTCTTTTCAATGCTGAATTCTCTTCTTTGCAATATTTCTGGCTTTTCTTATACTCAGCAGTGAAGTGGATAAAAACAATGAAACCTCAAGTAAAATTGCATGAAATTGAAAAAATGATGAGGTTCAGGATTTCGATTGTCTCGTGGAGCTTCCATCGCGAGGACCTTTCCCTAGAACAGATCTTCCAGATCGGTTTTTGATATTCTTTAGAAACGATAGTAATGGCCTTCATCGATAGAAAATTTACTGTTAGAAGTCTGTAGATGAAGAAATGACAAAGATTTCAATAGTCCATTAACAGTAGTCGGTCAGCTTTTTTTCTGAACGCTCGTTTAAGTCTACGACCCAATGGTTCCGTTCAAGTATAGCACAGTGTTCTTGAAGCAAAATAAATAAATAAATGCAACAAAAATGTACCCAAAAACGTGGGGTATTGCAGGGGGTGAGTCTATGGTACGCATGGACTTAAAATCAAGAAAAATCAAAATCTTGGCTGATCTTAATTTCAAGGTATCGCTATTTAAAATTTTTATAGTAAATGCGAGTTTTCTACTGATTTTGATCAGTTCTTTTATTTATTTGTCCATTGAATCGGTGTTAATGGGTTCACGTTTTTATTTTTCGCTCGATTCATGTCGATCAAATACATACCCTCTCGTTACATGCAGACTACCTATCATACTCGTTTTTATAACCGAACGATTCGCCTTCTGCTGCGTCTGCAGCAATCGTTTTTACGAATATATTGTGCGGGCTAATTTCAGCACATTTAATACTTGACTCTTTGAAGGCGTTTCATGTGCAAAAGCAAATCGCCTTCAGCTGCGTCTGCAGCAATTGTTGTTACGAATATGTTGTGCGTGCTGATTCTAGGTCATTACATACTCAACCATCTGTAGGCGTTTTATGTGCGCAAGTGGAGCACCCTGTTGGAGAACAACAGAAGTAAGATCGCCCTTCTTCGTTCGTTTTCCAACAGATTGCGCTACTTGTGCACATAAAACGCCTTCAGAGAGTCGAGTATGTAATGAGTCGAAAACAGCACGCACAACATATTCGCAACAACAATTGCTGCTGACGCATCTGAAGGCGGATTGCTTTTGCACATAAAACGCCTTCAAAGAATCAAGTATTTAATGTGCTGAAATTAGCCCGCACAACATACTCGTAACAACAATCGCTGCAGACGCAGCAGAAGGCGAATCGTTCGGTTAAAAAAAAAAAAAGTATGATAGGTAGTCTGCATGTAAGGAGAGGATATGTATTCGATCGACATGAATCGAGCGAAAAATAAAAACGTGAACCCATCAACACCGATTCAATGGACAAATGAATAAAAAAAAGCTGACCAAAATCAGTAGAAAACTTGCATTTACTATGAAAATTTTAAATAGCGATACCTCGAAATTAAGATCAGCAGAGATTTTGATTTTTCTTGATTTTAAGTCCACGCGCACCACGCTATTTTTTCTAACCGCTCGTTTAAGTCCCTGAGCCATTGATTCAGTTTGCGTATAGACCGAGTTTATAATTATCAGAAACGCACCAAGTCGCATTTGGGGGGAGGGGATGATTTGGGGTGGTTTGGAATTCACCTACACAGAGAGAAATTTCAACACCAAATTTGGTCTGTAACAGGAAGTAAAACAAATAATAACCCTAACCTTTGGTTGACAATTTCAAGAGAAAACGCCAGCTAGTTTTCTTGAAGAAATTCAATAAAAAACGAATGTAGAATACCAACGTCGCAATTGAGGGAATGCACTTTCCCAGTCTTTCCATCGATTTCTGTGCTAAATTCACTGCAAACTGTACCAACATCAACACAAAATTTAAGTTGGTTTGTGTTTCACTCACTGGAAAAAAAACACATTTGAATTAGAGTCCAGACTCTTGAAAACATTGACAAGAAAAAATACTCTTGATTCAATCGGATTTTTGCTTGAATCAAAACGAAATCCGCTTATATTAAGAGGCTTGGTTTTTTATTTTAAGCTATATCCTGATTGAATCCAGAGTACTTTTTCTTGTCGATGTTTTTAAGAGTCTGGACTCTAGATCCAATGTGTTTTTTTTTCCAGTGCTACCTATATTAACCTAACATATTAACTAACAAATAGTTTTATTGGTGTAGCCGTTAATTTTAAAGTTATTTTTCCCAACCATTCGTCTAGTTCCGGAGCATACTTTAGGCGTGACAAAAAAATCTGTTTTTAGTAACAGAGTTTTTATCACGCCGGAAGTATGCTACGGTTATTCAAGTTTTTGTAACATTCGAGATGTTTTCGTTGAGATCTACTCCTCTGTTTATGAATTTAGATCAAAATCATTATTATGATAGCTGGACGCACAAATCACGCATTGCGATGTAACGGAGTGACGTTTCAAACTGTTTACGTTTACTTCATTTTTTGGGAGAAAAAAGAATTAAAATAATTACTTAGATTTTTACTGATTTTTCTTCACTTTCCCATGGTAATCCTTGTCTGTAGAAGTGTGCAGCCATAATTTAGATTTTTCTCCTCTAAAAAGTATAATAAGCGAGAGAGTTCTGAAATGTCTCAATGACAAGGAGGTAGTGACACGTAGTTTTAGAGTCTAGCCATCTTTTTTCATCATTTTTTGTAACCATGCACAGGGAATCATTTTTTTAATATTTAATCTTTTCGATTATTTTCAGATGGGCTGTATCAACTGTAATGACTCGACAGAATTTTGTACCCTCAGCTGACGAAAAAAGATCTGTTAATGCGTTCATTCCCATGTGGGATATGTGCAACCATGAAAATGGAGAGGTAAGCTGTTTTTTATTTTCTTCTTACTCGTTGAATATGCTAGAAGAAACAGCTAAAAAACACAATAATCTTTCGCCACTGTCTCCGCCACATAATTATAAATACAAGTTATTCCGTCATCGTGGATGAGTTGCCGAGAACAAAATATAGAGACTGAGAAAGAAAAGAAGAGAAAATATCAAATGAAAATGTGCAAATAAACAAATGCCTATTTTGTCCCAAGAGACGTTCTTGTAATCTGGATTGCAGAATGACTATATCAGCATAGCTTTCTCAATCGCACATATAAACGCCTTCAACTGAGAGGATCTGCAATCTTAATGCCCAATGATCGCGAATTGTTGTCTACTCCGATGACATCAGTAATGCATTCTCACATTATGGCTCGGTGTGGTATTTCGCCGAGTTTAATACTGCCGTGCTAAGGAAGAACGCCGTATGAACATTCGAGAGTTGCCAAATCGCCACAGATAAAACATCTGGTTTTGAGAAAGATTGTGCGTATTTTTTCATGAAATTGTCAGACATTTTAGACAAAATTACGAACAAAATTGTCTGAAAAAGTTAAAGAAAAACATTCAAAATTTTCCCGGTAAATAAGGTCTTTATTGAAGAAAATGTGGCAACGCCTGAAGGTTGATACGGCGTTCTTCCTCAGCACGGCAGAATAGAACCGAACGTATTTTTACTATCGGGTTTTGAAAGTGCCGCTCGCACTCGACGACGTGTTTTTTATTTTTTTTTTATTTATTTATTTTTTTTTTATTTTTTTTATTAAATATAGTATCTATGAACATTATCAAAGGCTTACACCTTACTGGTGCATACAGTGGTTGCCGCCCCCCCCCCCNCCTCTAATAATGAAAATTCACTGCTAAGTATCATTTTTCGTTCATTTGAAATTCTAAAATCTCTAATATTTTCTATTATTTTTGACAGTCCCTGCTAAAAATGGTGAGTACAAATGAATAGAAAATCAAAGTCATATGAATAGAAATTAACTCATATGAGCAGAATTCCTCTATACAGTTTTCGCCAACTCATATGACCAGAGATTTTAACTCACGTGAGTTCAGCGTTGACTCTACCGTGTCCGATATCACAGAAACTTGTCACCGCATCAAAAAAATTATAGGGACAAAATGTTTTTATTTTTCAAATTTTCATACCAGGTCGGTGTCTCGTGGTCAGAAACAGCACTTCTGAAAAATGAAAAAAATTGGATTCATGTGAGTTGAACTTTTCTTCTCTTATGAGTATAGAATATTCTAGTGATATGAGTAGAATTTCTCCTCACATGAGTAGGATTTCTACTCATATAAGTAGGAAGTTCTACTGCCTGTGAGTCGGCAAATTCTGAACAGCCTACTCGTCATTTTTAGCAAGGGTGTTTTTGCTGTTTTTAAATCAACTCTCATTAAATGTGACTTGTTATTAAACCACATTTGATCACATTATTTCAAGCTTACCATTGATTTACAACTATATAGCTGCCGCTTTTGCTCAAAAAATATAATAATTACTTTGATAAGCGAAAAATTCGATTCAGAATAAGTTGAAGTTTCAATAATTTTCCGAGATCGAAGGTATAGGATTGAAGGATTGCCACTGCATCAAAAAGAAGTGTTTGTTGCATACCTGCAGATCGAAAGAGTTGCTCTTATTGTGTATTGCACCAAAATTCATCACACTAAGTTGGCATTTTTCCTTGCATTGCAAACTGCATGTGGATGGTGAAACTACCAGACCACGTATCTCGGTTTGCGACGTTGCAGACTTCCTGTCATACTTCATTTTTGCAACGGAAAACTACTCAACGTCAATTCTCGAAAACCTCTGTGATTTTTCTTCTTTCTGCGAAATGAACTCTGTGAAAACCTCAAGGAATGATATCGGTTTATTCTTCTTCAGAACAATAAAATGGGACGGAGATTTTTAAACATCACGTGGTCTGGTAGTTTCACCGTCGAATTATCATCCTTCTGATAGTTTCAAATCGGAATTCATTGGTCAAACGATTTAAAATGTAGCTGCGATAGGATTGCGCAAATGCCCCCTTTTTTACCTTTTTGGAAATGCATGGGATTGCGCGAATTTTTCTGGTTCTGAAAATTCACATGTTTCCGCGAATATTATATTTTATTTATTATTTTATTTATTATATTTATCAGTTTTATTATTTGTTATATTCAACGAGGAAGCGTTAATCTGGCAACCTTGGTAGTTTATGGTAGATAATTACATCGCGGAAGACTGTTCATTCCCTTCTCACTTATGGGTATGTCTCTCCTCGATGGATAGTCCTTGCAGCACGAATGGCCCGCCAGAGAACTTTCATGGACATTTCAAAAGTGAAGTAGGGGTTCGTGGTCGCTAAGCGGCCACCAACCACTGAAAAAAACTACACGTAAAAAATCGCGGAGCAACCATGTTCAAGTTTTTTAGGAGGTAACGAATGGATTCAAAACCGGAGCAGAAAGTCAAAAATGATGACACGCAGTCATACAGCATTCCTACAGTCTTGTAAGCGCTAATAGACCTTTCACGCCAACTGACCGACTGCATTGCGATTGGTGCAATGCGAGAAGTATTCATACAGTCGTGTAGGCGCTAATATGCGTGCCGCGCCGATCGCACTGTTTGGCGCGATGCGTGAAGTATTCCTAAAGTCCTGCAGGCGCTAATGTAAGTTTAATGCCGGCCGCCCATGTTTGGTGCGATTATTCGAACTTGCGTTAGAATAATCGTGACATCGAATAATAGGGCTTACGCCGTATGAGCATTCCAACGTTGCCTCGTTTTTCCCGATTAAATATTTTTTCCGAGAAAAGTTGGGAAGTTCTTTATACCCACGACCATTATTCAATCTTTTCACTTCATTTATCGTCAGAAGGTAAGACATGGATGACTCGTCAACAAACTAACCTAAACTAGCGTTGACATAAAAATTCGTTTATTTTCCAACTGTTTCCTGGTTTGCCAAACTTCTACCATAAATTAACTTCATTTTAAATTCGCGCAATCCTGCAGCAGATGTTAAGGTTTCTATTCGCGTAATCCTCGTATATTTTCTTAGACCTTTCGCGCAATCCATGGATTACCGTAGGTAAAATATAACAATGTGAGGGGCTTGGAGGACAAGGCGCATAAGTACAGTTTTTTCTATTTCGAGGAATACGTATTTGAAGTTTCGAAATTACATGGATCCTCTATGGCGAAAAGAAAGTTCAAACTGACTTTTTATGCTTAAAAATTTGAATTTGGGAGCGGATTTTTCACAGAATATGCGTTAACTCTAGTTTTACTTGAAATCATCATTAGGTATCTCAATTTTTTCGAAAACTGCACTATATGCGTCTGGTCCTCCAAGCCCCTCATTTTATGGTGCAAAAATATTGCAACTTCATCTCAATCTGTTCGTTGGAAAATGCAGTATAGATTGCTTGTACGGAAACAATTATTTGAACACGGTTTTTCTGAACAGCCGTCAAAGATTTACAATTTCATGGTGCATGCAAAAAAATTGCAACTTTATCTCAGTCTTTTCGTTGGAAAATGCAGTCTGGATAAGAGTGCTTTTACGATAATAATTATTTGATAACGGTTTTTCTGAACAGCCTTCGACAATTTACAATTTCATGGTGGAAAAAAATTGCAACTTTATCTGATGCCGCAATCACACGCTGAATTTAGCAGCTGAATGTGGAAGTCAACAGTCATCGCCCATCGGCTGAAATTTAGCAAATTCGAGTTATTTTTATTCAGATGTGTATCAAATCAAATCTACTCGAATAGTTCAGACAAATCCAACATTAGTCCGATGGTTGCTAAGAATCGCTGCTGAATTTTGCGCGTCACGCGCAAAATTCAGGCATCGTGCCGATGACTTTCACATTCAAGCCACATTCAGCGTGTGATTGCGGCATCAGTTTTTTCCTTGGAAAATGCAGTCTGGATAAGGGTCTTTTACGATAGTAATTATTTTTATACGGTTTTTCCGAACAGCCGTCGACGATTTACAACGCGGAGACGAAGGAAAGCCAATGCGTAGCGTGGCGGAAGTTCAGCGCTGGGAAGCAAGTGTTCATTTTCTACGGGGTGAGGACGAACGCGGATTTCCTGGTCCACAACGGATTCGTGGCCATGGATAACAAACACGACGGTATCCAGCTCAAACTGGGCATCTCCAAAGCGGACCCTCTTCACGACGACAAGGCCACCATCCTCAAAGAGCTCGAAATCCCACCCGCCGGCGAATTCCTCGTTAAAACCGGGAACGAACCGGTCGATGGCCAACTTTTGGCTTTCCTCAGAGTCTTCAGTATGGAAAAAGGTGAGTCCTCCCACTCTCCAAAGCGATGCCCAAGCAGCAGTGATCCTGATAAGTTGCCATTTGAACGGAGACCAGCGGACTGATTCCCGAGTACCCAAGTAGCATTTTTCAATGTAAAAGTTGCAGCAAGTTGAAACAATGCTGGTATTTGTTGCAACAAAATTGCAACTTGCGGTCAACTTTTGGTCGATAAGTGCTGATTTTCGGCGATCTGATCGGAAGACGAAGTTGCGACCTGCCGAGATTGCAAAATCTCTGAACCAAAGTTGTTTAAAATCTAAAGATAGGCAACCAACACAACAATACTTTGAAGTTGAAACATGTTTAACTTAATTACAACTAGTTCCAACAATGATAGCTCCTTCGGGAGAGAGAGTAGGCAATCTGCACATCAATCTATCAGTTGCAAGAATCAAACGATTTTGTTGCAACCTCTGCTACTTGGGTAGCAGTGATCGCGATAAATAGCGATTTTATCGGTTGGCTATCGCGATTATATCGGTGGCAATATATCGAGATATTATCACATTAAAAATTGCGATTTTTGGTGATTAAATCGCTACAAATCGCAATTTTTGGTACGATAAAATCGTGATCAATTTTCGTCGATAAAACCGAGATTAAATCGCCATTCATCGCAATTTTTATTTCAAAAATATCGCAATGAATTGTCCGGCGATAAATGCGCGATTTTATCGCGATAAGATCGAGGATAGGTACTCGCTCAGATGTTGATGTTCCTGTCGATTTTTCCGTTAAGAAATGCTACTTGGGAAGCAGCAGTGATCCTGATAAGTTGCCATTTGAATGAAGACCAACGGACTGATCATTCAAATAGATGGACAAAGCGATAGACAAACAAGACACGGGGAATATGGGGCGATCCTATTGGTTGAAACGAATGGTTATTATAGACTGAAGGAGTAAATGATGGACTAACTGTAGGGACTCTTGTGGGTTGCTGTCAGTTAGTCTATCACTAACCTCCTTCGTCCATTACAACCACCCACTTCCACCAATAGGATTGCTTCATTCACCCTATGTCTGCTCTGTCTATAGCTTTGTCTATCGATTTCAATAACCAGCCTCAGCAGTGGCGTGGCGTGTTTTGCGATTTTTCGATTGATCTGTCATTTAACGAATGCAAAAGGATCGATAAGCACGATGTTCGCACCGAACACCTTAATAATCGATTCTTTGTCGCAGCTTCAAATAGGGAAATATCGATAATCGATCATTGACGCTTCGCGACTAAACTGACGGAGACTGTATCGAAATTTTATCGACGTCAATTTAGCGGTTCATATAATATTGCGTCCGTGTACCCTCAAAGCCGTGAGGATACTGGAAACTGTTATCCTCAAATAATAATTCCAAACATAAAAAGTATGACTTAAAAATTACTATTTCTGAGAAATTCCTCGTCAAAGTTTGTAATGGATTAATATTCGAAATGGTATAAATCTCTTTCAAAAAAGAAGTCACAAAGGCAAAAATGTGGCAGTTCTGAAATCAGCATTAAAATAAATTAGTATCTGTGCNCAAAAAAAAAAAAAGATCAGACAAGACCAGTTTTATTTTAGTGGAATTTTTCAGGAAACAAGAATTATTGTGACAACTTTTTACTTGTTGGTCCCCATGAGGGCAGTTCTGCATGTTTAACAGTGGTTATTTAATATTTTTACAAATAGCTTTTCGAACCTAGTGCCTAGAAAATAATTTTATGAAAATTACTCAGCTCTACTTAAACAGCTATCTACTAACCGGCCATTGTAACGTGCAACTCTGTAAATGGACTTAAACTGAAAAGTTCAAATGAAAAGTAGGTACCTACCAAAATAAAAAGGGATACATTTTAAGTACCCATTGAGGTTTTGCTCAATGAATAGCTCTGTACCTAAATATTTGAACAAGTATTCCTGAAACCTTAATGGCCTTCACAGCCCTCATCTCATTGCTTTAAGGGAGTGTAAACATTCCTCTGCTTAACCCGTTTCCTTTTGTTTACAGAGCACCTAAGTCATTGGCTTGAAAATATTGAGCGCTGTTCAGACCTGACGCATATCGATTGTGCTTTGGACACAGCTCTGGAGAAGAAAACTTGGATGTTTTTACTCACAAGACTAACTCTTCTTCTCAAATCTTATCCAACTAGTCTTGAAGTAAGTTCTCATCTCCATATTTGAGCCACAGCTTCATCCTTAGAAAATTGATGAGATATTATTTTACTCAGCATTAAAGCTCTGGCTGTATCTCTTTCTCCTAATTCATTATAATTTGAAATTTATTTATGCAAAACTGTTGTTTCAGTACCTCAAGCACAGAAAAAACACCTCTTTTAAGTCCTCAAGTATATTTTTGGGCATTTCAGGGCACTCTTTGGTGCCAGATGACCCTAAAGGGCCATTAAAGTATTGCATAAACCACTCGGGAGAAAGGGGCTGGGCTTGGCTTATAGGGTCTCACGAAGAGAAAGAGCCAGTTTTATCCAGATCCAGGCTCTTGAAAAAAAAAATTTTAAAAAAAATGAATTAAAATCAGTTTTTCTCAGCAATTTTTCCGATTTTCTGCATTATTTTTTGGAAAAATTTACAAGCCAGGCTTAGGTAGGTGAAAGGGGGGTGGGTGAGAATTTTGGCTTGGATCAGCAGATCAACAAATCCTCTGTAAAATTGAAGGAGGAACCTTCATAATTTTGACAGAAAATTTGCATTAATTAGAGTATAGTAGGCAATACCCAAAGGCTCTTGCAGCATCCTTACTTAGCATGGCAGAGTACTCAGTTGTCTCGAAAAGTGATGTTTCTAGCTTCCTGGCCTTTTATGAAGTATTGTTAGATTTAGTGTACCTACTTTCGCTCATTTAAACTGCATTACTAAAATGTTTTATGCCGTATGTTCTGTTCTAGGAGGATTTGGAATCTTTAATAGATGAATCTCTATCAACATGCCAGCACAATGTCCTGAAGCTTTTGATTTGTGAAAAAAGGATATTCAATAAGTGTATAGAATATGCAAAACAAAGGATTAAAGTTTGACATCGTTTCCTTCTACCTGCAGCCTAATTTTTGAAAATATTTCTGGCTTTGTCAGCAGTACATATAAGACAAGACATAGCCTTATCTGTGCCATGTAATATATCGATTTTCAATGTCTTGTTGTCCTGATATTAATTTCAATAGTCAGGCTGCAGGATTGAAGTTTTAAGTCATACTCAATAGCCGTGCAATACATCAGTGGTCTACCACAAAATATGGTAGCCCTGCATTAAAAATTTTGAAAAAGTTAAAAAACATTCAAGTGCAAGTCAAAATCTTTAAAATCGGAGGTGTTTCGTCCAAGAAACTTAAATTTATATTTTAAATAAAATTATCTTAGTATTTAATTAAAACTAAATAAAATCAAATAAGATAAAATATATCTATGTTTTGATAATTTTATTTCCTTTAGTGCTAATCTGAATAATTACAATTTTAGCAGAAACTAATCGAACCCCCTTCGATTTTTCAGAGGGAGAATCGGAAGGAGGTGTTTCGTCCATAGATTTTTAAAGAATAAATAGCAGTTACTATCATTAAATTAATAAATGTAAAACTTACAACTTTGTTTAATGTTTTAATCATAAGTATCTCTATAATAATTTCATCATCAGCAACCATCCTGCGCGAGGGCGAAACGCATACAGCTTGAAAGATTTTGACATGCACTCAAATATTTTTAACTTTTTTTAAATTTTAACGAAGTTTGTGAACGGAGTTTCCTGAGAGATATTTTTATTTATTTAAGTAGCCCTGATTTAAATTCATAAATTTTTTTCTGGAATCGATTTCATGGTTTTTAGACGTTCCTTTAAAGAAAATTTAAATTAGACATAATGTAACATCGATTCTGCATTTATCTCACTTAGTAACTTTCACACCAGTAAAATGCCCCAATAATGGTGAGCATAAGGTCTCAAATGAATCATTTCAGAAAAGTATAATATTAACAGCATGAGTGGGCTAGCTCCGAATTTTCCGGCGAAAAGCACCAGGTCTGACAGCCCTAAAAGGGGAGGGAGTGTAGGGTGGAATAGGGTTCAATAGAAACTGTCAAAGGCTTTGCAAGATTTCGTAATCGGTCCTGAATATAGCCTATAAATTCTACCAAAGTTCGGGGGGGCGGGGACCCCCTAGCCGCTCTGCCACTGAGTAGCAATATTATTTTACACATATTATGTCATTCAGAGGGAAAATAATTAACTTGTAAATATCCACCATCATGGCTAGTCATTTATTTTTCTTTGTACGATATTATTTATTCTAATTTTTACCTGTGAACTGTATGGATTATATGAATGATATAAGTAATTTCGTTCTCAATCTTACTTTCCCTGTCACTTGTAATTTGTGAACAAGAGTTAGATAATCTTCCAATCAATGAACTTTCATACTATGCAGGTTTTCATTTTTTAAGGAAAATTTTGAAACAAGCACTCTCAAACTAAGTATATCATTCTATGCAAAGAAGCCCTTCTCTTAGCTTTTGAATCGCTCATAACCCCAAAACATACCCTTTGAATTGGAAAATTCTAACCGTAGTAACTCAAAATTTACAACAAGTATAATATATTTTTTTGATGATGTAATAATTTGAGCCATTTATGAATGAACGAATGAAGAAGAAAACAAAAAAGTTTGGGGACTGTTTTCTTTGAGGGCGATTTTAGGGCTAAGGGCCTTTGTCCTTCTTCATTGGGCCCCTTGTTTATGTCTGAGCTACGAAGAAAGTTACACATTTCTCCTCAAAATTTTATACAGAAAGCAATTCACACAACAGGAAGATCGGAAATCAACTTTTGAACGAGATATCTTATAATAGGTATTATCAAACAAATCAAATGGAAGTCAAGAGTATATGAAAACGACATCATTTGAAAAGGTCTAAACAGAATGAGTTAAGCTACACTAGAAGCTGCCTAATTTTTTCTGGTGTTTTATTTTTGCAACAAAAAACTAAGCAACCCTGGAACTTGAAATTTTGTGAGAATATATTCTTCATCATCCAGGTTGAATTCACATAATGTTTACAGGCAATAAATAGTTTGGTTTTCTGTTTAAAGAAAAGAGGAAAAAAAGAAGAAGAAAAAACATCATGAATGATAACTGGGGAACACAAAATGCTACTAGGCTGATTTTGGTTTAAATGGTCCATTTAACCAGTTTTTATGGTAAACACTTTTATCTTGTTTAGTGGTTGATTTCCAGACCTCTCGTTTCCAAGAGAAATTATGCAGCATAGTGCTTCAATTCATACTTTGGTGGTCAATTTATTGTGCTTTTTGAGGAGGTAATAAAATGCCTTTAAAAAATGTGAAATACAGCTGCATATGACATCCACCCATTAAATGTTGGTCAGGAGGGAAAATCGCTTGAATTGTAAATCTGATGAAGAGATAATCCATGTTACATGTAGTCTGAACAATTTTTCCTCCTCCAAACAATATTTCCGTGACATCTCTTCATTTACTGAATGGAAAAATCCTCCAGACTATGAAGATGATCCTGTTGAGGTAATAATTTTAGATGTGTACAATTTCATGCAAAAGACAAAATTAATGACAGTACATAATTCTTTTATTTCTTCGAAGATATTTCTTATATTACTGTATTTACATTCAGTAGTCAAGTGAATGACTGATAGTCAAAAAAGTGTGTGTTTTTTTAAAGCTTTGCCAGTATTAATTTTTGAAAATAAGAGAATTATTTAACAATAAATGAAAGGTGTTTTTTATTTTGTATCCTTTTGGTTTAGAAAATCAGCATTGCTGAAAAAATGAGTAAATTGAAATTTTAAGACGAACATGTTTGATACGAAAACCCAACTTCATGCAGTTGGCACTCCTTGGAATTTGTCTGACACCCTTCCACTGACAAAGACTAAGAAAGACTGTTTCTGAATTTCTGGTAATGGTCTTATGGACAAATTTTGTTGAATAATATGGGGAAGAATAGGGGATCTACAGAATTTTCAGAAGGTGCCCATGTTCAGTTTGACTTGTTTCTGGCACATTATATAATGTAAATAAGAACGATGAGCAAAATTTATTAGCATTTCATACATTGTTGAGTATCTAGAAGTCATAATGAAGTTTTTACAAAATTTGTACTTTGTCTTTAAAGAAACTTGAATAATATGAAAGAAGACTTAGTGCAGATACCAAATATTCTTTCACATATTTGACTCCGGTGTACTTACACGTATAAAAATTCAGGGAATAATTGTTCTTATGAATACTAATAATTAACAAATAAATATAAATAAGTTTCATTCTCTCTTCAAAGATTTGCCTAGGAACCCCTGAAACAACCAAATGAAAAAGGCTTACATTAGTTAGGAAACAACTAACCAAAGCATAAGAAGATAAATTGGGCTAAAAATCCGAACTACATCAGACATTGCTTATTTTCTCTGATTTATTTTTTATACAGAAAAGTGAGCAAAATTGTGAGCTGAAATGTGATGAGTCAATTTTTCTTAATCCAGAGTAAATTTATAGTATATTTAAAGGTGTTGGGTAGTTTAGTTCTCTGTTAAAAAAATAAAACATGAGAGAAAATTATGTTGTACTTAGGCTGATTTCCCTGAAATTTGTCCGATTTATGCAATTGAATGAGAAATGATGACCGATTTGCTTTGGCTCTGACAAAAATGAAAAGAAAATCGATAGTGAAAATTCCAAATCATGTATCTCGATTTGTGACATTGCAGATTTCTAATCGCGTTGATTTTTCTTTAGAAAAACAAACAAACATTATTTCACGTTTACTGATTTCTCTACATCCTGCGCAGAATATTCTGCGAAATTGTATACAGTAACATTCATTGGTTTTTCTTTGAGAGAGAGAGAGAAAAAGAAGATATTCTGAAATTTAGCCACCAAGATACATGTTCACGTGCTCAATGTTCACAGAGCGATGATAAATAATAAATTGTGGAGAAGGTATAGCAAATGAGAGTTTGAGGTTAAGGAATTAAGGTTCTCACAATGATGGTTTGTCATGAGACAAAATCCGCTAATTCGTTTGATTTTCCTGAAAAAATATTTGGTCACACCCACTCTTACAGATTATCACTTGATAAACCTATCAAATCGTCATATTTGATGAAAACATCCACTGTGAGATAATTCATTTGGATAATTTTTATGAGCCTGGACATTGATAAGCTAAAGTGGAGTTTGGACTTAAAAATGTTAAAAGGAAGGTTTCTTTTCAAAATGTAGAAAGAATCAATTGTTTGTTCTCAAATTAATACTTACACTATGATATTGTTGATGGGAATATGTATCAGTTTGACAAAAAATCCGATAAAGCCCATGATACAGAATCCTATTGCAGTAGCTACGGCTATCTTTTTGAATTCTGAAAGGAAAAAAAAGAAAGAGAGATTAAAACATTGGCGGATCAAGAAATTTTGAACCCCCTGGCGAATTTTTGGTTTTTTCATGGGGCATGCGCCTGCTTCCTTGGATCTGCCTGTGGTTTAAAATTGAAGACAAAAGAGAAGAATAGGGGTTTTTTCAGTCAATGCAAAACCATTGAGAAAGAAATTTCGACATCATCAGTGCTCAGTTCACCTTCCAGTTTGCGTAGTTCTTGTTTTTGTCCATATATTAATATAATTCACATGAAATGAGACTGTTCGACTTCTTTCATTTTTATTTGAAAAATTACTCTTTCGATTCCAGATACCATGTAAGTAGTCTATGACTTCAGAGTGGACCATTTTGAACAAAATCCTAGCAGGAGCGCTGCTTAAAAACTCCTTGAAACAGAGTTGGATTCCTCAAAGCAAATTGAATCACCACTCAAACCTAGCATTTAATGTAGAAAAACTGTCAATTTGAGAAATCAACAAACTGCGCATCTTTCCTGTTCTTATTCCAGGCATGAGTTTAAAAAATCTGCCATGAATGCAGTTGCCATTATGAAAAAATAAACGGTACTGTATTGTGTTAAATACAAAAACCCAATAGACAAGCACCAAATAAGGCTGAACTACAAATTGCAGTGGTTGGCAACATGACATCCTAGAATTTGAAATGACAACTGCGTAGACTAACTTTGCGATTAGATTTCTTAAAAAAAACTTGATGCCAGGACTGCTTTACGAATCCCTTCTTCCTTAGGGTCCTAACATAATTGATGGACAGCTTAATACTAGACTGGAGATGTTCATTTTAAGTGAGGATAAAAAATGTGTATTTATCATGCTACTGAAAAACAAAGAAACAACAGAGTTAAAACCAAGTTTTTCTACAATCAGCAATAATTCATGGAGTAAATCAACTTGGTAATTTAGAATATTACCTTTCCTATCTGGCTTTGTGCATCTTTTCACCAATCTGAGGGAGTCTTTGGCAAATTTCTGTCCTGGTTCCAAGATTAAGTTGATTTGATCCATGGTGATATCTGAAAACAAAAAAAAGGGTCATGAGCATGAGACAAGGAGCAGAGTAAAAATTTTGCATTTGATTTTTGAAACTTGGACAAACAATTTTTCAAAACATTCACCAGTTATTTCTGAAGTGGCCTGAGCCATAGATGTGTCATTTAAACTAATTTTGCACATAGATTGTGATATTTTTAATAAATATTTCATGAATTAACTGACTTGATCGAATGGGAGAAATTCATTGTTTTTAGGAGGTCAGAAGTCCAATTTGTGATATTCAAGAGACTTACTATTACGTAGCTAGTACAAGCAGAGCTGATTGATTTGAGACGTTACATATCAGTTAAACTGTTACCCGAATAGTGGTTATAGTTCAGAATGAAACTCGTATATAAACTTAACGTGAAGGAGCCATAGACGGAATGTCTTAAGCTTTGTGTGCCACATCTCTTCAGTTCGATAAGGTTTCCCACAGGGTTGGTAGTGGTTATAGGTCATGACAAACAGGCTCTCAGGGTACCTCCTATAGTTTTGACACAGATCAGATTTGGGCTAGACTAGAAATCCAAGTTTTTCGCATGATAAGAGTAACACATATGAGGAAGGGACTTGTGTACGATCCAAGGATTTCGTGGTGATTTGTCTTCATAGTATACGGAGAGTAGTAGGTTCTAAAGATGTGTTCCGTAAACTTAAAGTAAGTAATTATCGTGCAAGATTAGAGGAAGAGATCTGCGCTTAATGCAAAAGCCATTTCTCATAAAAATGTGCGGAGAATTTGACAGAATAACTCACCCTGTAAGTGCTTGGGTAGGTAGAAATACTAGACTGAATGTCTGGCGTCTGGAAACTTCAAAATTCACTAATAAACTCAGGAACCTTATTAAAGGATACTAGCGATTGAATGAAAGAGAAGAAATTGTGAAATTGATTCAAATTTTGCTTATGTTTCTCTACACGTCACTCAGAACAACGGTGTACAGCAGGTACAGCTGTTGGTGCAACGTTGGTGACGTTTCCATAAACACTGTTTTATGGTGACTTTTCGGGGAACATGACGTTTTTGATGTTACCTCATTCCGCCCACGAATAAAGGAATTTGGTGTTCAGAACCATTGACGTATAATACAATCTAGACCGCGCATTACGAAATTCAAGCGAGACGATAGGCAACCCAGCAACACACAGCAAGTGTACCGGCGAGACAATGGTGGAATTCGTGGAAATGCCAGTCTTGCCAGTGCCGTTGCCTGATACGGGTACACTTAGCTCGTATATCCGGCGGTATCAACTAAGCTGAAGGCGCGTCTTTACCCCCCTAGCTGTCTTACCTTCCCCGCCCAAAGTCGGGCCCAATGCGCGGTCTAGATTGTATTATACGTCAATGCCTCATTCCGCCCACGAATAAAGGAATTTGGTGTTCAGAACAGATACGTGGAAAGGAGCAAGTTTTTGGAACCATGGATTGGACCAATTGGACCGATTAGAAAATAAAAAAAGTTTGCCTAAAACGCAATTGCTCTTTTCGTGCTTTCTCTTATTTAGGTTGTTTCAGTTCAAAGTAAATCACTGTTACTTTTGCATAGTGACAAGGCACTAAGTTTGTGCGATGAATCGCAAGTTCAAAAATAAAAAACGTGAAGTCGCCGAGCACAAATCGGGATTCAATGGTTTGTATTTCCTGCCTATCCATGTTTCGTCATCTCGTCGTTCTAATTCTTAGATTAACGATTAAAAATCATCCTGATGTGTAGCATCTGCCTAAATTTTTCCCTAGCTCCTTTCTAATTTCCCTGAGAGCCTAAATTCTGGTATAGGGTTGCTTCCAATCTGATGGAAAGATGATGGTGAGGACACCCTCTACCGAGGCTAAGCCATGGTCCTGTATCCAGCGTTCAGTTATTTGTTTTGAAACCCATCTGAAGGCAGTTAACTCAGATTTTATTTGCAACAATCAAATTTCTCATTCGCAAGATGCAGACACAAGGTATCGCAGCGTTTCTGGTAACTCTTACAGAGCATGTACACACGCGCTCTTCCCTCCCATCAATGGTGCCAGCTGGATTGGAAGTTAAATCAACTTCTTGCAAAATCTTACTTTCCTGCGCCTCAGCTTGCTCAAAGTGCTTGCTCTCTATCATCTGGCAGAATAAATCGGGCTGGATTTTAACACGTAGTGATTTGGATTTGCCGCTGTAAAGTACCGTAGCCGTTGCTGTAAATCCTCTTCCTGAAAAATACTAGAGTCCATGTCAGGGGAGGAAAGTAATAATATGAAGCACTCCATTGCGTTTGGCTGGGGTCAGGATATTAAAATAAGCCAGTATGGGACTCTATTTGAGTTGAACCCATTTGAGACTAACAATGAGTACAATCACGAACATAACCTGTACTAGCCCTCTTTGGGATGGTTAGTGGGAGTCTTAAATGCTGGAAGAGGAAACATCATATCAGAGAGTATAGAAGATTAGAGGCCCGACTGTATAGGAAAAATTTGAAACACAAGTTTGCCGTAAAAGCAAGAAGTTGCGTTTGTTGACGATAATGAATGACCATCGTGAGGGTTTTTAGTATTGATGGTGGTGGATGGGGCATCACCGGTTGATTTAACAATCAATACAAAAAACTATCATTTTAATGAATGATAATCGTTGCGTTTTAGCCTCAAATCCTGCAAATCCTTCAAAGAAGCTTCTGTCGCATCTATAAAACGCAAAGTAATTTTGTTTCTTTTGCCAGAATTCCCGAGGCTCGAAGGCAGAAGTCAAAACAGAAACCGGCATAACTATGAAAATGGGGACAATTTCGAGATCCGCCGAGTCAAGTTCAAGAACACAAATCCAAATGCAGGAAGACGAGGGAATATTCGGAAAGAGTGGCTGATCGACAGACTTTCAGATGATGTTGACATGATGATCTCTGTTGGTCAGGGTGAATCCAGCAAGTCGTAAGTTTTTTCCTCCATTTTTTTTTATTTTCATCATTTTCCCTTGTCAGCATTCATTAATGAATTGCTGCATTGGTGAGAATCTTATTTTTCAAATTACGGATGTCGAAGTTTCGTAATTTGTTCAATATTCAATATGAAAACTCATTTGTAGAATCAATTAAGTTCCTATCTAAATTATTGTACTTATCGAACAAGAGAATGATTCTAACTGGAGGTACTACTGAATCTATAATCATGGAACAAAGAAAATCTGCAAAACTATCATTTCGACGGTGAAAGTCGGCAATCACATAACTTGGTTTGCGACGTCGCAGACTTCCTGTCATACTTTATTTTTTAAATGGAAAACTACTCAACGGCAATTCTTTAAAACTGTCATGATTTTTCTTCTCAATGCGAAGAAAATTCTGCAAAAACTTTAAGAAATAATATCAATTTGTTCTCCTCCAAAAAAATGAAGTAGAGGCGGAGATTTTCAGACACCGCAAACGAGTTATGTGATTGCCGACTTTCACCGTCGATTTGTTTCACCTTACCACTCTTATGCTCTGATACTTCATCTGTAGGCAAAATAGTCACAACTTAAAATTCTGTTTCCCAAGTAGCTGAAAGCATTTTATTTTTTGACTAATCAGAAACCGCAAAAGTCAAAGGATTAATGAAGGTGAAATGCACTTCCCATGTCTACAAGTTTTAATTATTGATGACATGCAAATAATAATTATTTTATATTTTTGTTTTGTTTTTAAAAAAATATGTATTATCACAATGTGCCTGTCCACAGTAAAAGAGGCATCACAGTTGCACTTGTAAATTTATCAAAAGAGTGGCTTTAGTTGAGTTGAGTCTAAAACTTGAATTTTCCCAGGAAATTACTTCTTATTTTGTATAAAATGGTATAGTGTCAAAATTTTAGATCAATTCTGTGTCAATAGAGATGGTAAGTTTTTATTTTCGTCCATCATTTTTGAGCCCTGAATGGAGCAGAACAAATTTTTAATTGTATATTCTTTAAACTTGATTTAAAATTTTTTGGAACCACAAAACTCAAATCATTGCAGCTCTGGTTTCCTTTAAATTTTTGGCGTTGTTTTTAGTCACCATGTTGCCAACACCCTCTCTTAGACTTACAATGGCTCAATATCTGAATTTTGATTTTCCCTGTCGATAGGTAATCTACTTTTTCTAGGTTTATATCATTTTTATCATTACTTTTTTCTTGGTCAACAGTTCCGACCGAGGTCGAAGATATAAAGGAGGAGGAGGCGGAGGACGAGGGCCTGGCAGCGAGCTCGCCATAAGAAGAGGACCTGGACTAATGCCGAAAAACACCTGGTTCAAAGTCACGGTATGTAAACACTAAACATTGTTAGGTGCTTTTCATAACCACATTGTAGTTTCTGGGTGAGTGACCTTTTTCAAAGTCAATGACGTCAATGATGATCAAGTTACTTATGTCAATTTTGTAACTTGTTTTTAGAAACAGTGGCATCATTTTTGGTGGAAAAATTGATGAAAGTCCACTGAAGTGCTAACAAAGAAGCAAAAGAGATGATAAATCATGCTTTTAGTAGGTTTTATTTAACAATTTAATGTACATATATGATGCAGTTTAGAACACTCTGCTTACATATTATGAATACTCACTCAAGACCTTTTTCGCAGGTACCTAGTACCAAGTTTTGTTGTCTTACCATCGCATTGATACGTACTTATTCTGAGTAAAAGTACTCAGGAAACAATGGAATTCTAGTAATTTGCACAACAATTCACTCTCCACTTTCAAAAGCTTTTCTGTTTCTTTGTTTCTCTCTCCTTTGTTAGATTTTTCATAAGGTACTAAACGAAAATTTTTCCTATCTGCAGGTTGTACGTGGTGGCAAATTTGAGAGAAATCAGCTTCTCAAGATGTTGTTATCGTACATTCAGCCTCTGCCATTGATACCTTATTACGTAAGTAGATTTTCTAAGCATACGTTCATTTTCTAACTCTTTTCTCTTTTGAAATCCTATGTTTTACATTCCTTTGGAAACTGTTTTTTTTTTCTTTACCAGATCCTTCAAGTTGTATAGGCAGGTTCCATTACCATTTTTACTAAGCTGAACTCCAGTACCTCCTGTAGTTCTGCAAGAGTTAAAGAATAACCAAAATGAAAACCGTGTATTTTTGTAGCCAATAAATTTTTTCTCTTCTTCTTTCCTTCCATGTCAGATACATACTTACGCTACTTTTTCTAAGCTCAGTGAACTTAAATTTTATGAATTTAGCAATTTACTGGAACTTGTTTTTCCATGTTGTTCGTTTTCCAGTGACAGGGAATTTCCAACGATCATTATTATGAGTGTGACTCCTCAATTTGATTGTGGAGACTGATGTGACAGTTAATGTTCTGGTCTTCATTCTTGCATTTAGCTGCAGCTTTTGATTTGATTTTTATGAAAATAATTTGTATTTAAACTTTAGCATTCTAATGTCCTGCTTTTATTTTTGTTTTGTTTTCAGTTCAGAAACAATAATAACAACAATAACATTTCTTTCTTTGTGGGAGATTTCTCTACAGCCAACAGTTTACAGAAGGCATCTGGAAAAATTACTTCTACTGATGGGCAGAGGGTAATAGTTTTTGTTTTATCTTCTTGTTTAGATAATTTGTTTCTTTTTATTCCTTTCGGACAAGCAGAAACGTACTATAGCTGGAAAAATGCATTTTTTTTTTTTTTTTTTTTTTTTTTTTTTTTTTTTTTGTGATGGAAATGTTATCTATTCATAGAGAAATGGTAATATAATCTCATTTATCATGAATGGTTTAGTTGTGGAAATTATTTGGATTTTATCGTTTTGTCTGGTAGCTCACAATCAATTAGAAACTTCCTTCAAAAGAGTGCTATTGATCGAGCAAGATTTGTAGACTCTAAAAAAATTAGATTTGTCTAAGTATTTACCTCCAGTAGGAATCCCAAACATTTGGGGTAAGGCATGTCGATTTCAAGAACCAGTTTAGTTCAGGTTCACTCATTGCTTGGTGCTGTGTTCATTTCACTATAACTGATTCAATCTTTATTTAGCCTTTCCATCTTATTGTATTTATTTTGTTCAATCCTTGTCTGTAAGAACAAATGGCATAGCTGAAACAGCTTGAGTCAGAAAATTAGCGAGTAAAGGAACAGATTTGCTTTTCTAGGAACTTCCTTGAAAATGTGTTGAAGTCTGATTGCGCACCAATCATCTTTTGGAAAGTATCCCTTCTGTATAAATTATGACTCATTTTGGATTGAATGTTTATCCTCCTGTCACATTAGTTCCTTGACATATTTTTTCTTCTTCCAGATTATAATTCATGTCTTCGAATGCAAGCCAGATATAGTTTTGAAACAGCAAGACCAGGACAAAATAAAGAACGTTTTAGCGAAACGTTACAATCCCACAATGAAAGCTTTAGATCTATCAAGACTGTATGACGATATGAGTAAGTTCAATTTTTTACTTTATTTTAGCATTAGGCCTGTGCGAATATTGGAAAATCTTGAATATTCGAGTTCGAATAATTTCCCCAATATTCAAACTCGAATTTAGAATCTCAAATTATCGAATTATTCGACCACATTGACAAAACTTCAAATATCTGAAAAAAGGACCGAATATACATACATTCGGCCATATTGATGGCGTACTAGGAAGAACTCGAACAGGCGCACAGTTCAAACTACCTGTTTTGAGGTTAGGTAAACAAAGGCCAACGTTCCATTGGTTCATTCAGTGCACGGCACTCGCACTTGACGGGTCATTTTAAAATTTGCCCCACTTGAGTTCCACCGAATATGTCATCGAAATGGCGTACGAATGGGCGAATGTACTGACCTCCATAACTTATCCTTCTCTGCCTGGCGCGGCACCTCTGTCTTTACAATGTTGCTGGACTGTCTTTGCAAGATGAGCATTGATGTAAAGTAAAACTGATTAAAATGGATTTTCGGACAGTAAGCAGCAGTTTTACAGTTCTGCGACAGTTCAATCAATTGCTCGTCCTTAACTAAAGGAAACAATTTTCTCTCCCTTCTTTTCTTTCCCCAGTAAATCAAAATGTATGCAAAACCATTTGATAATTAAATGAATTGATTAATTCTTGATCTTTTTATCTATTATAGTAATTTTTTTATTCAAAATTTGAATGTTAGAAAGAAAAAAATTTATTTCTTCGATTTTTACTTTGACCAACAGAGAGGTTGTTTTGGTCAAAAATAGATAAAAACTAGAAATCTCCGATTTGAATTCAAAAATTTTTCAAAGTATTCGATTCGATATCAAAAAAACCATATTCGCACAGCCCTATTTAGTATATTGTGATGACTAACATTTTATGACGTTTAACTGAGATATAAGACTCATCGACATACTTAATGGGTATATGAGAGATAGCGCTATGATATCTCTCTCCCACACATTGAGTCAATGAGGGACGTCCCCCTTCTTAATATTTTATGTAAATTTGTAATAAATCCCCACTAATTTAATATCACACGACTCTGTATTAAAGCTGCTACATGTTATGGAATGGTTTCTTGCATAAGTCAGTAAATAATGATAGTGATTCCTGTAGAAGGCTACATTTTAGCAGCACAACGTAGTGGCGAATCTTGTCCCTTGATCACGCAGATTCATCTTAAAGTTTGGAGGGTGGTTTGGTTGAAATATAACGCTCAAATGCTGTCATGAAGGAATGACATGAAGACATAGGCATTATTAGCTTGAAAGATTAGAGTCCCTTTATACTGAGAGCCAAGACAACACCCCCCTCATGGAGTCATGAACGGGAACAAAGATTACACAAATTTAACGTTTTTCGCAATCTTTGATCGGCCCATTCTCCAATTCCTTTCTCTGTTCCCTCTCTCATTCCGTTTGTTCCTTGTCGAACCCGTAATTCTCGGTCCATTCCAGATTATAATCTTTGCAAGTGGTGAAAATGTAATCTTTATTCCCATTTGTGACACTTTGGAGGCCTAAAATATGCTGACCTATCAGAAATGGATTCTCATTGTCTTGACTCTCAGTATAAAGGGACTCTAGAAAGAGATGAAGAGTTGCTCCCAAAGTTTCCATGAAGATAGACTTGTTTTCATAATTGCATCACTCTAAAGAAATCATCAGAAGGGTAGTCAAAGACCCCCCAACTTTTCATCTCCCCTCCCCACATCCTCACATCCTCTCCTTTATCGTAAGCTTCTTGCGATGTTGAAGTTGTAGAGCTGGCTCAAGAACAGGGAGGTCCCGGGTCCAGTGCAAAGCCAGACGACTTAGGTTTGACGGTCTCAAACAATGATTTTCTGTAGCTGGCTCTTGAGTAGGGGCTGAAGCAACTGGAGCCGTAAGTGCAGAATCATCCCAGAAATTTATACTGACTATTAATAGGGTCTTGAGTTGTTTCTGTGAATATCCTTTGAATTAGTGCCGTACAGCTTTGCATTCATAATCAATTTTGTCTGCGTTCTTTTGTAACAAACATCACCAGTTCTGTACTATTGCACTAATTTCTTTTTTAAAACTCCAAATGCATATAGCATTGTTTTATAAAAACGCATCCAATTGTAAGTGAATGAAAAGAAAATAATGAGCTTATTATTGTTGCGTCAATTTATAAGGTATACGACCTTTCAATGCAATTGAATAACTTTTGTGTCAATCATAATTAATCCATGTTTATCTCCTCTTTGTTTTTCGTTAGGTCTGAAAGCTGAAGAAATTTTTGTGCCTCTCAGTGTTCCTGCCGTCCTGATGTGTGTGGTAAAAATCATTGACGAAACAATTCCAGATCTGTTTGCCTTAGACATGTCAGACAACAAAATGTTCCAGTTTTTAATCTCGACTCCGGGAGATGTTCTACAAAATTTGAAGATCCTCCATCTTAGCAACAATAAGGTATTTCCTCCTTCATTATATTTAAAATATTGTTCCTTGTACAGTTAGGTTAAATCCTCCTTCATCTCCTTCTAGTGCTCTGCTCCCAATTTAACTGTAAAACTCTTCCACTTATTTTTTAAGAACAAGGAAACAATTCGTTGCTTAGAATAGAGTTTATTAGTTACTAGATTCTTTGGATTCATAAAGACGTTGCGCTCTGCTTAAATTTCTTATTTGTATTCATGATTCAGGTCACATGACACCAGAATTTGACTTTGCACCTATCACTTTCAGTCTGACTGGCTGCAGTGACTGCAAGTATGTCAAAAGAACCCATCTCATGGAATGAGTTCTTTTCCACATGCTGTTAAACTGTGATCAACTATTTTCGATGTGCTTTCTAATTGTGCCTATCAATGGATCACCAGCCACGGTGCAAATTTAAGCAATATGATTCATGTTTTCTCATGTCATGGGATCTGCATGTCAAAATGTCATGCAGATCCCAATTTGTGCAACAAAAATTATTGGAAGTAACTAGTAACTCCTAATTAAGATATCAACGTTTTTTATTGAATAAATTCATACTTCCTTCTCATGAAAGAACTTTAATCTACCTACATTAAATCGCACACTAAATGTTACTGTGACTGTCTCAGAAGTACAAAAATATGGCAACTTCAATCTCAGCGCTTTGGCCCAGCTGTTGCAAGTTGTTTACGCTGTGAACAATATTGGGCGGGGAAGTAGCACTCCTTGATGAAGAAGCATTCTAAAACCGTTGTACTTAGTGCGCAATTTGATTGAGGTGGACTTGTGTTTTTCTCGTGAGTGGGAAATTTAAACTTTTCATAACCAGCTCTAGGTCGTTCATATCTTGGTCAGGAGTTAATTCCAGTAATTTTTGTTGTCTAAATTTAAATTGTGCTCTACATACAATTTTGAGGAGGAAGTATAATATATCAGAATGCTTACATTCGTACGTTGTCTAGTGGTTCATTATGAAATTTTGTAAGTATCACAGTTCATTAATTTTTTGTGTGAATGTGTTCCAGTTTGCTCATTTTAACAGTCTTCATCACCTGAAGAACATGAACGTTGAGGAACTAGTAATGAAAGGAAATCCATTGTGCAGCAGGATGCGAGACCAAACTATTTACGCAAAGTAAGATAAAATTTACATCCATTCCAAGAAATATATTTTCCAATTTCTCATCAGCGGTCAACTGTAGCTATGAGGTGCTTCTATGGCCCAAAAATTTTTGCGGTGGAAAAGAAGTTCATCCCAGTTGCCGTAGACTATAGTCTAGCCTTTAATACAACTTATGCTTATGGGCAGTAATGGTTGTATGCAGTTGCAAGTCCTATCTCTTGTTGACTTACTTTTTCACCGTTGTATCAAGAAAAAATTAGCTTTGTGATTTGCGTGATTGCTACGTGTATGAGTGTAACTATTTACAACAGCTCTGCAGTCAATCAAATCGTTTTTTGATTAAAAACTGTAGTTGATCAACTGGACCAAGTTTGATGGAATTGAACCAAGTAGATGAGGAGTTGTACGAAGGTGCCGTTTTGTGTTGTATAGCTAGGAGCTAATGTGTCGTTTTTTAAATAAACTAAAATACTTGGCTCCTCTCTGCAAAACTCTATTAATACTGACACATATGTGTTAGTCAAATGCACTGCAACCATTTAAATTCGAAGCTCATTTTTTTTTTTTATTTCGTCTTGAAAGAATTCGAATGAATGTCACAGGAAGAATTGGTCTGCTTTCTCATGAATTTTTTTGCGAATCTTAACAGTGTTTCATCTAGAGTTTGTTGCGCCTAAATATGCAGTAATGCCAGAAATGTGTAATTTATGCGTTTATTAAAACCAGTGGCAAAATAGAAAGCTATGAAAATGCCGGGCTAGCTTACTCATCGGTTATCTTGGAGGAATCAATTGAGGACTTTCCTAACATCCTAGTTAATTGAATTTATCACTGTTTAACTTAACAATTTCACTATTTGATGATGCGTCGAGAGTACGGATTCTTATGTATTTCAGAACTTATGCGTAAAAGATCATCATGTGTATGCCGAGGTTGCCTAACTGCAACAAAAAGAGGATATTTTCCATGATTTTAAATGGGGGAAAATCACTATCAATGATTTGTACGAATGAGTTGCGTGATAAAAATGAATGACTCAAGCCAGTGCTTCTAGAGCAATGTATCTGCCCAAAATTGATCTTTAGGATTTTTCTCTGTTTGAATGATGTGCAATTTGCCCACCAATCCATGAATAATTCTGTTTTCTCTCTTTATAGATGATTGAAAGCTGCGCATAGTTGCTGAAATACACCAGCACTCACCTGTGTATCTAGACTTGTTTTTTCCTAAATACTGTAGCCCTAATTTATTTATTTTTTTTAAAAAAAAGCTTACGGCATGTTTTGAACTTCCTTTTCAAGTTAAAGCCAATGCCTTCAGGAAGCATTCAATTTAGTGTGACTTTTACGTTCTGATCCTCGGTTTGCTTTTGCGCGGTTGACTGAATCATTTCCAACTGTATTACCATTCTCCTTTTTACTTTTCTAAAGCGGAATACTTTTTTTTTTTCAATTTCGAATGTGTGAACTCCTAATGAAAAGGCGTGTTCTCAGTAAATAACTGAATCTAGATTTTTGTCATTTTCCTGCTCAGACACCAAAATTTTTTCTCTGATGTAGTTGCTTAATCTCAGTGATTTTTCTTTGAATCTGTCTTTTCATTTGTGTAACCAGTCATGAAAATTGATATTTTTAGGAAGTCCAATCCACAAGTGTTATTTATTCTATTCAGACCCGTTTTTTACTTCAGTATTTTAGTCAAATTACAAAAAAAAATAAATTAATAAAAAACTTCAGTGTTTTTAAACAAAAAATCCTCTTATTGTATCCATGGTATGATCTAAAGAAAAAATGGTTATCAAGACTCTCCGTTAATTACAATTCTCATTGACAGTATAATTAAATATTTTAAAATTTGTTCCCCTCTCACTCGCTTGTCGATTGGACTTCGAATTGCATTGTTAACTATATACTTGTGTATTTTAATTTTCTGTTTCAGGGAAGCAAGGAAAATATTTCCAAAACTGGTTCGATTAGTACGTAAATTTTTTTTTCTTCTCCAATTTACAATTTTACAATTTCTTTTATCCATGTATCCACCAAAATTTGTTTCCAAACATTCAGCCCTAAAAAATGCTGTACGAGAAATAAATGATTATTATTCTCGACCGCATTCCTGCACATAAAGGAACGGATTTAACCCAAATCGGCTTAATTGCATTTCATGTTTCCTAATTTTTTCTAATGTTCTATTTTCTTGACAGGGAACTAAACCACTCAACACCTTAAAACTTTCTGAAAAATTACCCCAGTTTATGAAGAACATACCTTTAAAATTTCAATTTTCAGTTTTTCTTGATTTTCTGTTAAAAAAATAAAATATCAGAAAAACTTAGGCAAAGTTTGATTTAGGCAGGCTAACTATGGTTAAACTGTTATATGTATTGATCTTCACCTTTCTGTGGCTGCCGAGCTAAGCAAATGAGAGATGTTTTGTAGTCCTGTTATTTGGCAGACACTCTCAAATGGGTTAGTTATCTCGCTGCTCGGATTAAGATTGAACCAAGCCCTATCAAAATCCATAAGTTAGGAAAAGATTGTTCAAATTTTTTGTGTGCGATATGGATATCCATCATCAGGACTGAGAAACTTGGAAGTAATGAATCATGCATATAACTTAGATGCAAAGTGTCAATGACTAGATCAGGAAGCCGATATCCTTTTGTGTGAAAATCAATATAAAAAAATGACCTCGAAAGAATTAACATGATTCTTCTCTGTTAGTCAAATATTCTGGAAAAATTTCAAGCTATATTAAGTTGGCTTGTTTCTCTGTGAAAAATAAAGTACAAGGGGAAATTTTGAAAAATTGCAATGGAAATACAAGGATTTTGCTCCTTGATCATCTGCTTGTTGTATTATTTGCACAGTGAACCATAGAAGTGTCTCTACTTTTATTCCTGCTTTTAAAATTTGACATCATCTTTTCAGGATGGCATCGAACTTCCTCCAGTCATAACCTTTGATGCCGGAACTCCGGCAAAACTAATGCCAGCACAAGCTAGTTTTCTCTGCTCAGCAGAAGGACAAGCAGTAATCAAACCCTTCATTCAACAGTACTTCGAAATCTATGATAGCGACAACCGAGCTCCACTGATAGAAGCGTACTCTGAAAACGCACAATTTAGTTTATCATGCTCTCTTCCATACCCTAGCAAAAGTGAAAAAAATCTTCTGTTTAGTCATGGCAAGTAAGTAGCTTGGAGTTCTGGTTTTTGTGGATTTTCATTTTTTCATCATTTTGATGTTTATTAAATTCACTTATCATTTAATTATACAAAAGGAGGGAAGAAACACACACATTTGTCAAGCAGTTGAAATTTTCTTCTTATTATTCACTTACGAGTAATAAAACAAAACTTGGTATGTGAACACCTTTCAGTCGTTCATCACCAGACCATCATCAGTGTCATTATGGCGGAAACGCGTTCAATTATTGTTTATTTTATTCATCTGTGTTGATTTACCTTCTTTTCCTCAACATCCATTCAGTGTCAATGATTTGGAAGCACATTGTTAGCAATGGTAAATAAATATATTTTTACTTAATGTCTCAAGATAACAAAAATAGGGTCAATTTCAACTTGAATCATAAAAATTTGCAGAATTTTAGATGAATTACAGTGTTTGATGATTGATTTAGTTAAGGAACAATGCTTTTGGCACTGACAGTTCCATCTATAGATCAAAGATGATATGAAGAACAATGAAAATAGTGAAGAACAAAGCTAAGTAATTAACCCAGAACAATGAAATATATTTTGTTAATGAAAGCACGGTAGGACGAAAGAAGGAAGCATAAGATAGAGTGACAAATTACTTGCAGCTATTATTTTTTATTTCATATTCCCTCTAGAATTAGTATGCCAAGCGTCACTACCATCATCAGGTGCATTCTACACAGTTGCCTTCAAATTTGAACATAATTATCTCCTAATGTGTGTAACTTATTCTGTTCCTCATTTGACTTTCAGTCCTGAAGATTATACGCAAATGAATAGAAATTTATGTAAAATCAAACCTCCTCATGTGCGAAAACAGAAGCTGCATATAGGGAGAGAAAATGTCATGAAATGTTTGAGCTGTCTGCCCAAAACCAACCACGATCCATCTTCATTCACTGTTGATCTCACAATTTTCACGGTAAGCCCCTCAAAAGAATATTTTGAGCAGTGCAATTGCTCATCTACAGAGGAGTACTATTTCAGCTCCTAAGGCAAGATTTAGCTAAAAATTGAAGAGATGACGTTTTTAAAACCAACTTTGATTCATGTTACTTGCCAACAGTCTGAGAATTATTGTTTTCTTCCAGACAAATCGGAGCAATTTTTTATTGTATTAACTTACCAATGATCAAGATTTGAATTTTCTTGACTGTTACTGTCTATTTATACTTGTGGTCCAGTCACTTCGTAATATCATTATTTGATCTGAATTAAAAATTCATTTCGTCAACCCTCGTCTTCCTCCATGGAAATCCTGGAAAATGTAGTTGCTTCAGATGAAGTATGTTCAGGTATATATTCAATTTAAATCATGTCGTGGATGCCCCCGTTGTAAAGCAAGGAGGTTCTCATTACTAATTGTGTTCATTTAATATTTCAGTCGCAGCTTTTGATGGTGTCTTTAAGTGGAGTGTTCAGAGAACGACCTGTTCAAACTATTCCTGTGATTCGGTCATTTTCACGAACATTTGTCATCGTACCTGTAAATAATGGGTTCTGCATCATAAATGAACTCCTTTTTGTTGGAATCCCAACTCTTGAACAAGCCAAAGTAAGTAAAGTATATCTAACTTAAATTTTAAATTATATGGCGTGATATTGTTTGTCTTGTGATCATAAGAACTTTGGAGGGCAATTTATCATTTTTTGAAGTATTTTCTCAATAGAATAAATGAAAATGGACCTCTAGAGAAGGTGCAAATTCAAGGATTATGACACATGTTTTCTCCTCAAAATTTCATGCAGAGCATAATATTTACATTGAAATCACTGATAATAATTCCTATCATAGATACCTACGTTTTTTGATGCATCAATTCCAACTTCTTGCTCATTGATTAAGCAGAAATCTATTTAAGTTAAATCGCACACAAATCGTTACCATGATTGTCCCTGCGGTGTAAAAACATGCAAACTTCAATCTTGGCGCAGCTAGTGCTGGTTGTTCACACTTTGAACAATACAAGGTTGTAGGAAGAACATCGCCTAATTAAGAAACCTGCCAAAACCTTTGTGGTGTGTGATTTAATTCAAGTAGACAAATGTTTTCTTGTGAGCGGACAATTCAAAATTTCCGCAACTAATGTAAGCCAAAACTTAACATAAGTTCTGTTGCAAAAATCATATTTTACAGAGAAATTTTGGTCAGGAAACACGTATCAATCAAATTCTTACATTCGTATCTTGTCTAGCGATCCCTTATCATGTTAACGTGATACAGTGCAGTTTTCAGCACTTAAACATGTCAAAAATTTTACCTTGGACGTAGAAATTTTTAATAATCAAAGGATTTTCCATCATCATTCCTACTTTTAGTTGAGCCCTTTTTTTGGTTTCTTTGTATGCAGGTAGCATTTAAGTCAGCGCCAGTATCTGGTCCCTCAACTCCTATTGCATCTCCAAGTGCTGTTGGTCCCGTGCCCATAGTCTCTCCTGTCGGACTGTCTCCTGTTGTGTCTCCTGTTGGATCTCCGCAAGAGTTGGATATCGCCACGAAGCAAGCAATGTGCACAGCTCTGGCCGGAGTCACTGGAATGAACCTGTTGTGGTCAGAGAAGTAAGTCAAATGCAATCTAAATTATCCTAATCTTCTCTGCTCAGTTTATAGGATGAGAGCCAACGTACACTCCACTACAGGTGGGTGAGTTCAAATAAGCGTCTAATTTGGTGTCCCGAGCTGTTTTAATCGTCATAATCTGAGAAATATGGGCAGATCAAATTTTTTTCTCATTTTCCACACTATTGTTGACTATTACATGCTATTTCCCACTTTATTTGGACTGAAATAAAAATTTAGGAGAACTTTGAATGTGCAAATTGCCTACATTTGTCCCAAATTTGCGTGTCCCCCGTGCCTGGTTTTTGACTTTAAATCGATGTTGCAGCATGACTAGAGTGATTATTTAAGAAAACTTTATCGGAGATGATAGGTAATGCTTTTGAATTTGAGAAAAAAAATATGTCAATTTATTTTTTGCTCCATCAATAACTTTTTCACGCGCTAGAATCATTGTCCCGAGCAACAGTCAGCAACAGTCAGGAGAGACATGGCAACGATGTAATAAGCTCTAAATGATTGCCAAAACGTTGAGGTTTTTCAAAAACGACTTTTTTTGTTTTGATTGAATAGTTCACACGTCGTAGATGGCAAAAATTCTGAAATTCGCCAATTTTTCTGCAAGATTAACGCCATTAATGATGCCAAACAGAATGCTATACCCGATAACTAACAGAACGTCAAGCATACACACACACACTAATATCAGCACGTAAAATACTTTCGAAGTGTGCGTCAGGGAAAATTTTCTCTTATTCCGATCCTCTAGGACGTGCTACTAAATATTCCGTGAAAAAAAAACACCAAAATTGTCTTTACTGTTAGCGATAAGCTTGAAAAACAGCTTATTCCATCCTGTCCCGTTCCATCTTGTCCCGTTCCATCCTGTCTCATATGTTTCCATCCTGTCCCATGTCCCAGTTCAGTGGGACAGAGTGGAAAACTGTTACAACTGAGACTTGCTTGTTAAGCCCTGTAGGCGCTCTTTTCTACCGATTTAAGTGAAACTTGCTACCCAGGGGTATTTTTCAATGAGGAACTCGAATTTCTAGTCGAATTTTGAAAATTCGAAAATCCAAGATGGCGGACATGACCTAAAATGCTATCGCAGCGCCTAATCAACTGAGACTTGTTTGTTTAAGCCCTGTAGGCGCTCTTTTCGACCGATTTAAGTGGAACTTGGTACTCGGGGGTATTTTTCAATGGGGAACTCGAATTTTTAGTCGAATTTTGAAAATTCGAAAATCCAAGATGGCGGACATGACCTAAAATGCTATCGCAGCGCCTACTCAACTGAGACTTGTTTGTTTAAGCCCTGTAGGCGCTCTTTTCGACCGATTTAAGTGGAACTTGGTACTCGGAGGTATTTTTTAATGGGGAACTCGAATTTTAAGTCGAATTTTGAAGATTCGAAAATCCAAGATGGCGGACATGACCTAAAATGCTATCGCAGCGCCTACTCAACTGAGACTTGTTTGTTTAAGCCCTGTAGGCGCTCTTTTCGACCGATTTAAGTGGAACTTGGTACTCGGAGGTATTTTTCAATGGGAAACTCGAATTTTAAGTCAACTTTTTAAAATTCGAAAATCCAAGATGGCGGACATGGCCTAAAATGCTATCTCAGAGCCTAATCAATCGATTTACGCGAAACTTGGTAACCATGCGCCGCGGGTATTTTTGAGTGGGGAACTCGAATTTTTAGTCAAATTTCCGAGATTCGAAAATCTAAGATGGTGGCCGTGGCTTAAAACACTATCTCGGTGACTAATTAATTGATTTTAATGAAACTGGACGGGAAAACCATGGTATAAGGAAAAGAAAGGAAATTTTAATAGGGGTGCAATAGGGTTTCTCATGAATCTTAGGCTACGAAATCGAAAAATTCCTGCGTTTTTTCCATCGTGCACAGATTCTCCCGGAAAATTGACTCTTCTGGAAAAGCTAGATTTTTAAGGAAAATTCCGATTCCTCCGGAAAAATTCCGAACTTTCCCAGGATAAATCGCATCGATACAGGTAAATGGAGGTGTTTTTCAGAATCAGCGCCAAAAATCTACTCTGAAACCATTGGCAAATCTTCGGAAAATTAAAAATCAAAAAAAAAAAAAAAAAAAAGTTGACCGGTGTAATTGTTATATTAATGTAAGTCCTCAAACTTTTCCTGGCTTTATCACCACTTCAGCGGGTACACACCCACTCGAAGTTTTAAAATTCGGTGTTTTTGATCCATTTTGTATTGCAATAATCCAAGAAATAAAAGCTTCTTCTCGTGTGAAACGAAAACAGTGCGCATTTTGATAAACAGACGGAACTGTCTAAAAGACAAGCAGAATAAGCTCCAGATATCTTTCATGACGGATGAATTTTTTCTTAATTTTTTTGGTTCTGCAAGATATGAAAGGGTTGCATTTTTCAATTATGCTTTAATTTAGTGCTCGACGATGCTTTTATGACAATTGTGTTCAATTTTTAATTAAAAGTATTATATGTCACCTCTGAGATGAAAATTTAGGAAATCAGGCAAAATTACGGCAAATTTTGGGAAGTGATACACTTGACGGTGGAAATTCGGGTTTAAGCCCAACTATTAAGCTCGACGAGCTATATTTCCTAAGTCTACACCTAATGATAGTCAAAATAAAGTTTGGTTTGCCCAAAAATTCAGGAATAAATTTTGGGAGGAAATAGAACCTGGAATTTGACCCTTATTTGAATTCACCCAGGTATGGACAAATGGAATTTTAGAAAGTCGTCGAAACGCATAGATTTGACAGCGTCCAATGGTACAACCGCGATGGTATATTGGAAACTTATTTACTTTCTGTTCTGAGAGTGGGTCTTGTCGATTCTGTGTTATTTTTTCGTGTTCTTAGTTAAGTTTTTCGTTATTTTGAGTTTTATCAATTTTTTAAATTCATCTGATAGCTCATTGAAGCTACCAGATCTGACTTGAGGTCATATTGAACCACGCAGCAAAGACAGTACGACTTGCGACGTCACTCGATGGCCTATATTCTCAGCTCTGCCACTTCGGCACCCTGTTTGTCCATACCTGTAGTAAAGTGTACCGTTAATAAGAGCTGTCTTCAAATTGCTCAAATCATTCTCCAGAGATAGCTAAGGAAGGAATAAAAACCCCAAACTCCATCCTTACTCAAAAATTTTACCTCTCTGTTCCCATAAAGTTTTAAAACCGTGTTTACAAGAATGCGGTCATTAAAATGCAAGTCTTCCCTTTATTCTTTTCAAATTTGTATAATATACCCCAACCTAATCTAATTTAACTACTGAATGAATGTTTGTGAAATATGTTATGATGCAAATTTTACTAGCTATTTAGTGATTTTACCATCTAAAAATGGTGCCTCGCGTAGTTTTCACATTACTCCTAGTTCTCATTGCCCTCCCCATCCTCGAATTCTCCAAATTGTGTAAAAGTATGGTCAATGAAGCACTTGTAGATCCTTCCCTTTATGATGAGCAAAATAATAGCCGCGAAGGTGCAAACATATGGTTTTAGTCAGTAACTTATTTTACGTATCTTTTTGGTCCACAACTCTGCCCCCAATGATCATCTCCTTGCGAATGGAATATTTGCCACTCTAAATCACCTGTTTCGGAATTATGTGAAGATGATTTTAAAATAGGTCGGAATTTGTTGATGTTTTGGATATTTCCACCCAGTACAGAGTTTTGAGACCCCGCTGTGCAGCTTTTTGACAGCGGCAAGTGTAAATGCAATGCACTTCTTTCTTATAGAGTGTGCCAATTCTCTATCATATGTGGCGTGGAGAATCGGGGAGTGGATCTCATAAAATATTCGCAGCTACTGACCTTTGTGGATTGAGCTCGGCCTTCAGATTTCAGGACATTAAGCTAAAATTCTGAAAAAGATCTTATTTTCAGTCCTACTAAAAGACAAGTTTCTTCCTCTTACTCTCAAGAATTTCAAAAGAAAGCAGTTGAGAGCAATTCCACTCCAGGACCATTCTTTGAAACTGCTCTCATTCCCTGCTCTTAATTATTTTGAAAAACTTGATTCTTGTTTTCTTGTATGTAGTGCTGTTGCGAATTTTTTGCTCAGGCTTTTCTGTGGTGCTTTTTTTTAGGTGCTTAGTAGAAACTAATTGGAACTATGACCTAGGACTTCAAGCATATGGCGAATTGAAATCGCGTGGCGTGATACCTCCAGAAGCCTTCATCAAATAATACTGCCGCGCCCAGGAATGTTTGTGTGTATAGCATAAAAAAAACTTAGACGATTATTCGATCTTCATTTTGACTTGGAATACAAGACTATTGTTTTTATATGTGAACATCAGATTTGTCAGTGCTTGCGACATAGTCAAAGTTTAAAATATGTGTTTCATATGATAAAACTCAAAACTTTAAAAAAATGTGTAGAATTTTACCGCATTCTTTGACTATAAAAAATGAAAGATGAGAGTCAAGCTGAGTAATATGTTTTACTATCAAGACGTAATTTAACAAACTTTCATTGCAAGCTACCCAGCAAGGTTTTCATCTTTCATCATTTGGGCAAACTTGGGTGAAAAAAAATAAAAGGGGATAAGAAAATTATTGATTCAAAGTTGCTTTAGTGAGTTCAAGTGGGACTCTGTACATGTTAGGTCTTTAAATTAAAATGTATAGATCCATGGAAGTGGAGAACACATTATCAGAGAATAAGAATCTAGGAGCCTATTTCTGACAAGCTCAGCCATCTGAGGTTTTCATTAGACTTCCAGGAGCCCAAAACTGGCAGACAATGCCAACGGGTGTAAATTAGCATGACTTAAAAGTGGTTTTATTCGTTTGCAATTTTTAAACAAATTTAAAGATTAGTTCATTCAATTAAGTAATCAATTTTGATCGTCATATTGGCAGAAACTACTTTTAACTTGGCTCTAATTTACAGAAAGTTTGGCTAGTAGCGTAGTGGATAGTAATGTCAAAATTTGCAGCAAAGCCTGTTTCATCTGAAGTCACGGCCATTTTTGGGCTCTTAAGTTTCTTCAAGGGAAGCTGAAGGGTGAGGTGTCCCTTTTCTCTTTTTCTAGTGTCCCACATAATAGGAGTTAGCTGGTGTGTAGACTGGAGATTACTTTTAATATAGAGATTTGTTCATTATGAAAGATGGACCACTCAAACATAGTCTGTATGAAATTCAATTTATTGAATATAGAAAGCAACTCTTTCTTGTTAATCCTCTCAATATATGACGGACTCATCCTTCGCCCCATATTTTTTGATAGGGCAAAAATGGTAACCTCCAGACCATGCAAGCTTCCTCTTATTTCCATGGATTTGTCGACAAAATCCGAAAGTCTGTGCTGCAATCAACTATTGAATTACCAGAAAAAAGAAGCAGGGTTAACTAAATTAATCTGGTACTTAAAATTAGCTCTATTGAAAAAAAATTTCTGGCCGCAGTTAATTTTTATTTAGTAATTGTAAAGTATTTGATTTATTTAAGTCGAACTGTAAACAGTTTTTGTTTCTCTTGTCGGTATCAATGGATCGTATGAAATTGCTAATATTGTAATTCAGTTCTTCTTCTTGATTAATCATTATCTTGTTGTATAAAATTTACCAAAATGAAATAGGGAAATTAAATCTATTCATTCACGAATTATTTTCGACCAGCTGCATTTTAGAGTGACGATTAGAAGGTTATCAAAACTGCAATCTTTTGATGGGCTTATAGCGCGTTTCACTGTAATTAGTTTCATTCAAGTCTTAAATTAGTTTATTTAATTAAATCAAGCAGAATTAATGTGAAAAAATTGCCTTCATTAAGAAAATTAGCCAGTAGCAAATAGTCCTTTCAGATCTATACTTTTTCTTGACAAGTTGTGATTTTCGTTTCATACATACATGATTATATTTTCACCGGACAATTTCATTCATGAACGTGCAAAGTGCCTGTAGCAATATAATTGATAAAAATTCTTGTGGGTATTACATCCCATCCATTTAACATTCGCAATATTTATATTTCACTCTTAAAATGAATTTTCTCCTCAATTTTCAATAAGGATAGAAACTCCGAACTTCTCGAATCATCAGGGAGAAAAACAATTTCTAGCTGTCAGAGTATTAAATCAAAGATTGGTTCACATATCAGGTCCAGAAATGGAGTCTACCCAAAGTTAATTTATTTCTAGCTTTCAATTTGAAAGATTCTGCTCAGCTTAAAAATCATAAGATTTTAGAGACCCAGTGTTGACAAAGGCATTAAATTTTTAAAGTCTTTATTTTGACAGAGAAAATCTGTTTCTTTTTTTTTTTTACAATTCAACAGCTTTCCTTATCTACGCTGTTTACGCTGTCTACCTGTTTTAAACTTGTTGGTTTCATCCTTTATCAAAGTCTAGACAGTCAAATAACATACACCAATAAAGCTTTGAAAAGTAAGGGTCCAATTGTGTATCGAAGCAATCGTAAAATATTTAAAAAAAATTGAGACTTCTCTTTGTTAGATTGAATAGAAGAATCAAACTTTAGATCAGACATTGCAATTACTGAGAGGAATCATGGATATTAGAAAGTAGCCCCTAAGCTACTTCTGGTTGTTGATAGGTAAGTTCATTTTGCTAAATCCTACAAAATAGTAATCACTTTAATGGAAATATCTGAAGGATCCCTGCTGTACAGGGCCCTATCTAAGTTGAACAATTCTTAACACTTTAGTTACTTTTTTGGTTAGAAAGTCTTTAAGCTTTCAAAAAATATTCTGGAATTTTGAAATTCCTACAAGAAGCAGGATTTTTAAAATTCCAGTTTGACCCTTTGCAGTCAAAGCAAAATGGTTCGCTTACCTAACAACAACCAAAATTGCCTTCAATCTTGTGATGTCTTTACTGAACTGAATTATATTTGTTTTCCATTTTCAAAGTAATTAAACTTTCAAGATGATTCTCTCAAATTAAGACAAGTGGGTTATATTCAACTTTGTCACATATCCTCGTATATTTCAGAAATACTACCAATGTATCAGTCATATTATATTTATATTTTTTTGCCCTTTTGTTGAATATATCCTAAGTCCATCTTAATCATATACTCAATTCAAGGCTTCAAGATTAACTGAAAAATAATAATTAAATCTATGTGTGCAATTTTGCAATCTTAAAATTTAATTTCGTTAATTCAAGTTTAATGCAACAGAAGTCTATCCAGGGAAGCAGTTCATAAGCTTCTCCTAGTTCTGCCAATTCTAGCATCACCTTGTTTTTGTGTTGTGAAGTTTTTGAATTCCATGCACTTTTATAAACACTTACTTAAAAATTGTTACCGTATGAACTGAATTTCCTGTGTAATTATGCCGTTGGTTCGATTTTTCGCATTTTTAAGATAAGAAGAAAGATTTTGTTAGGATATAATGTTAATTATTCTATCAAGACACTAAAAGAAAAATGTTTAAAATTGTAATTTTCTAGCAATTTAAGTATTTAGCAGAAAAAAAAGAAGAAGAAAAAAAAAATCACTTCATCTGTTCTCATAACATGAGTTTCCAAAATGTTTCAAACCCTCCCTCTAAGTTATCACTTCATATTTATGTCAAGACTCTGTTTCGCTGATATTAAAGGCATTAAAGATATTTAAAAAAAAAAAAAAAAAAAAAAAAAACTTCTCTCACGTTCATAAATTTAACAAGGAACATTTTTCTCATCGTCTCTTAGGAAGTTTAACTTTTACTGCATGTACTGTCGGTTGATGTGACCGTTAAAATATGTAGTGTCCTCCACTCCAAAGAAAATTATGACTTTCAGGAACTTCATCAGGCGTCTTATAATTGACAACGTTTTTCATGCATTTGAAAGCTAAATACAAAGTAAGCGAGTAAAGGAACTTGATACAGTTCAAACTAGCAAAGCAAGGCACCTCTGTCAAAAGTCATCTTTACATCTGTGTTTTTCACCAATAAGTTCCATCGTTAATATGCTATTGTCTCCATCAAACAAAGCTGTTCTATTTCTGTTTTCTCCGCATTTACCTCTACTCAATTTCCTAAATCCTTGTGAAACTTTCTCCTTCCGACTTCTCTCCTATTCCCGAAAAGAAATGATGTTCTGCCAGTTGCAGCATCTTTGAGTCGAATTCCCATTCAGTCTATCGAAGTTTATGTTCAGATGCTCATGCCTCTAGCTTAATGGCTCGGTAGGCGGGCGAAGAGCTCAAACTCGATTCTCTTTACATCCTCCTTGTTGACGTGAAGAAAAGAGCTTTACTACCAGAATAACCTCTACTCAACTATACCCTGCAGGGTAAGTTGAAGAGGATTCTGCAAAGCACTCTGCCATGATTGCATCAACATTGCTTCATGCGCAGTTCTTAGCGCAGACGCTTGGAGTCTTTGAATGATGAGCATCTGCTTTGTTTTGGATGCATAGCATTTAACGACCCTTCCCATAGTCAGGAAAAAAAAATTGAGTAGATGTCCATTATTGGGGTCCAGCTAATATAATGAATATCTGAGAAATTACCATATTATTTTCTTAAGAAAAAAATATTCTATTTTTTCTGAAAAGGGATGTTCTTTTGATAAGTTTTATTTCTAATTGTCTCAAAAATTCTCATGAAGATTTTGATGTGGCAGTCTTGCGGAAATCCAAAAAGAGAAGTTCTAATAAAGCATGAAAAACTTTGTCAATGAAATTCTAAATCTGTGTGGTACTTATTATGTGGAAGAATTTGAGTAAGTTGAGGTTCATCATCTCCATAACTTTCCCTGTATGCCACTCTGAGATACATACACAGACTTTGCCAAGCCTCTAATTTCTCTACAACTGCTGTGCAGTAAGTTGTGATGTAAAAATTACTTATATATTTGAAAAAATTTTGCTCAGTGATTTTAGTATCATCAGTGGCACCAGGTAGGATGAATTTTATAATTTATTGAAAAATGGATGAAACATGACACATTTGTGAATTAAGTTTTTCAATGCAGATAGTTGTTTTTTATATAAGCTCTTCGAATCTTAGGTGTGAATATGAACTTCAATTTTGTCTAAGAAGTTGAGTGTAAAGTATAAGGTTTCTAATTCAATTTTTTCCTCTTTGTAAATCATCAATCGATGAATTGAAGGAACTACGAAAATCACAAGTTTTTCCCCTTTTTTTTTATTGATAAAGTTGTTCAAATATCCAAGCATTATTTTGACATATGCCTCTCCCATGATACTGTAAGATGAAAAGACAAGAAATTGCTGTTTTTCCATCAATGATTTTTATCAGAAAGATGGATGCTCTTGCTGCTGTAAGATTTCTTTTATTCAGCTGTAGAGTTAATCCAATCGAATGGAAAATACAGTTGTAGGACTTACATATTTTCAGTTTCATAATACGTTTTGATAAATTTTCTGTTATCCTTTTCTTGTTTCTGTCTAACCTTGCATCAATTTTCTTGTGTTTCTATATGGAAACATACAAGCACTGAGGACACTTGAATCCAAAATTTGATGTTTTGTCGAAAATTTATCCTTATTATGTCAACATATTTATAACCAAGTCAAATCCATCATGGCAGTCCTGAGTTGGACTAGTTTTCTTTTTAAACATCCCGTCAAAGCGGCGAAGTTTTCTCATTTCAAGGTTGCATTCAGTTAATTGTTATTGTTTTTTTTGCTATTTGTAATTAAGTCGCCCTTGTTTTGCTGTGAATATTCTGAGTAATTTAACAATGAATATTTTTAATACATTTAGAACAGTCTTAAAGGTTTTTCATTCATTTTTTAAAATTTTTTTCAGTCATTACTTTTTCTTTTTTTTTTTTATTTAATTGAATAATTTCAAATCATGTTAATCAAATCAGTCTCTGATGTTTCATTTTGAGCTCAATTTTGGTCAGCCCTCTGAACTGGATTGTGAATCTTTCATTGCAGTAATTCCAAATCAGATCAGAGGGGTTGAGGCAAATTTCTGCGTAGATCTTGCATGAAAAGAAGCGATTTTGAAAAAGTCCAGAAATAATTACTGACAAAAGTCAGCAGTACTAAACATTGAAGAGACTATTGGTCTAAAACTGTGCTGCTACTTTTGGCAAATTAATTTTTTTGTGCATGAGATCTACCCTGATGGTAATCTTCAGAAAAGCAATAAAATATTAAATTTGTCCAAGAGCATTATGATGGCTTTACCCTCTCATGGTAACTGAGAAAATTGGCGAGAAAGCTCAAATCATGCGAACGTTCACCACTCAATTTTGCTCGCTTTCCTCAAGATTATCATCAGACTCCTTTTTTCTCTCTTACTGGGAGAAAAGAGGATCTTTCAGCAATCTGTGATACCTCCAGTAATTTTTTTTGGATAGTTTAAAGTGGATTTCCCTAATAAAACATAATGATATCCTTAATTCTGCGTTTTTAATGTCCTTCTCATATTGTTTTTCATCAAGTACACTTGGATATGCAAAGTGCTTTACCTTTTTTCCTCAAGTTCAATCAGAACAATTTACTTTTTGCGGTGATTCTCTCTCATAGAGAAAATACAGAAGATGATGGCAAGCCAAGAAATGTACATTCTGCATCAGCGCAAACAACTGCAGGTCCAACAAAAGCCGTTGTAAAGTTGGGTAACCTGCACCATGAAACAGTATCTGATCCTCGCTATAATCGTACTCTCATTGGCTGATGACCAATATACATTTCTGTCAAAGACTAAATTTCATAATGGCTGCCTCCCTACCACCTTCTAAATCTCTTTTATGCGTGACTTCCCCTCTACACAAAAATCAGGATTGACTTCATTGGTGTTCAATAAACTTGAATTTATTCAATAAAAATAAGTAACAATTCAGCCACAACTTGTATTCAGAAAGTAAAGAAACATAAAATCACAGATACGAGTCACAGCACCATTGATAACACTGGACCACTAGACCATAGGCGAATTTGAGCATTTTGAAAGATGTATCCTCCTCAGACTTAGGGTAACAAAATACTAAAATTTACACTTAACCAAAATGTAACTGTTTTTACTTAGCAAAGATTACGAAAAAATTTGAATTTCCTGCTCATATATAAAAAAATACAGAGTATACACGAGTCAGATTTCTCATTTCAACGATTTTGACAAGCTTCTTAATCAAACAGGGTTCCTCCCTAAGTATAAACAACGAGCAATTAAGAGCAGAAGAATTTCTCCTGGAAGCATCAAAAAGAAGAATGATTGGACGTTATTTCCAAATTTCTAACGAAAAACTACCGCATTACAGCTCTCAAAAATCCGAAATATACTAAGTCCAAAATGAAAGGTCCAGTTTCGTCAGAAAGTTGCACATGTGCGTGAAGGAACAAGCCCATCGGGTACATTTCTTTAAACATACATTTCAGCCAGAAATATTAAACATTAGAATGATTGTAACTTCCTTGCAAATTCTCAGTAAAAATTAACACAGACTACGATCTGAAAGCGTTTCATTAGGAAGGAAAACTCATAATAAGTTTGGAATAAACATAATAAACCGTTTGGAAGTTGTATGAGCCTCGCGCCGCGGCATCGCATCGGGTACACTTCGGGTACATTTCAAATCGCGCGGTAAAAGCCCGTACCCTCTGCACGTCACACAGGTACTCTACGTCACACCAGGAGATTGTTTTTGTTTACCGGCAGCATGGGATTTTGGTTCTGGTTCGAGAACGTCAAAAAAAGTTTTAAATTAAGAAGTTTCAGTCATTTTTCTGTCTGTAGGGTGAGTAACTCTGCTTTTAAACCTCTTAATTCATTCAATGTTCATACTTTTCGTCGAATGACAAAGTATCATGTGAGTTGTATCTTGTGAGGTAGGTAGAGCGACAAGGAAGGTGTCGATTTGATCGACATGAATCGATCAAAAAATGAGAACGTGAATCGATCGACAAATTGTCAAAAAACCGGTGTCGATTCGATTGACATTAATTGATCGAAAAATGAAAACGTGAATTGATCGATACCGATTCGATGGACAACCAAGAATCAATTGACAAACCCGTGAATTGATCAACAAACCTGTGAGTCAATCGACTAACCCATGAGTCGATCGACAAACCCATGAGTCAATCGACAAACCCGTCAATCGGTCGACAAACCTGTGAATCGACCGACAAACCTGTGAGTCGATCGATTCACGTTTTCATTTTTCGATCGATTCATGTCGATCGATTCACGTTTTCATTTTTCGATCGATTCACGTTTTCATTTTTCGATCGATTCACGTTTTCATTTTTCGATCGATTCATGTCGATCGATTCACGTTTTCATTTTTCGATCGATTCATGTCGATCGAATTCATACCCTCCGAGCGACAATACAGTACTAAGGGGAGCTTAGGGTTGCATTGTTGCACTCAAGAGTGAAAGACATTCATTGCCTAGATTATTAGCTCAGGAAGCCTGGTTTTCAATGGACACATTAGCAGAGTTCATCATGCAATGTCAATGCCAAAATTGAAAAATTTTAACTCTTACAATCATGTTTTTAATTGCCTAACTCAGCATTGCATTAAAAGCTAGTTGACACATCTGTTGAAAACAAGGCTAAGAGTGAGCAATAATTGTAACGAACACTTGTCAGTTCACAAGAATAAACATAGCATGTGAAAGCATTGATGCAAAAGAGGCGCACTGTTTGGCGAAAAAGTTTTAAGTCCAGTTAAAACCTCAGCTCTAAAGGTCTCATTCTTGCAGTTCTTAAGGGGTATCTGAACATCTGATATGATTTTCTCGGTTCTCAGTTCTCTCCTCCACAATTTTCTCTCCAATTGAAATTTTAGGGCTCCAAGATGCAGAAACCTCTATATGTATTCGTAAAATCACAAGGTCACCTTTTAAGTGCAATCAATATAATTAAAATGTTTCATTCAATTGTTTACAGGGCTTAAAGCGAGTATTGCCATCAGTTTAATCTCTGGGCAAATCTCATAAAATTTTCATGACATCTTTGTAGGATTTCGAAATACACGAGATGTCTCTTGAAACAGAAGACAATGGTATATTGGAAAACAATATTCATCAGTCTGAACACAATGGCTTGGAGACTAATGGAAAGCTGTCGAATGCAATGGATGATGTCAGTATCTCAACTAAATCTCCTCTCATTGACAATGGAAATGACGAAAACTCCAGTATCAAAAATGTTTCAGAAGAATTACAAGTGAACAGTCATGAAAATTCTCATGTTATTTATGACTTTAATAATATACAGGAGTTAGTTTCAACTAACGAATTCAGTGATTCATCAGGAAAGAATCTACTTCGAGGCTGCAAATGGTTTGTATATTTCCTCTCCAATCACTTTCATCTGCTCTCATCGAACTGTCCACTGCGGTTTGCTTTAACTCGTACTGCATTAAAATAAGAGATGGCCCCTTCTGAGGCTCTCCTTTTGAGAAGTCTTGCAGCAAAAACGGGCTGATTCTTTAAGCTGTCTATTGATTCTCACATTGCTGATTGAAGAGTAAATTATTCAATATTGTCCTGCCGCTAAAATTCTCATTAAAAATCGGAATAATTTCTGCTGATTTTACCACATTTTATTCTTTCTAAGAGCAAGAAGCCAACTTTACAGCTTGAAAGTGCCGAATATCCAGCTAATGGGGGAGAAGAAATCAAGGTAGTTTTCAGGAAATTACATTTCTTTAGTCTAAAAAAATGGAGTATGACAAAAAGTCTGCAGTACCTATCATAATCAAGTATGTGGTTTTGTTCTTTGGCCATTGATATGAAATTAAAACAAAGTGTACCCACCTAGCGCTCAAATTTGGAATGGAGATCAGAATTTATTATTTTCCAAAAAATCTGCTGTTGTAGCCGACTTATTTTTCCCCTTCCATTAAAAAATTGGTTTCTTCATGTTGTGTAAAATCTCTTCCAGGTCACCCGATGGAACTTGTATCTTAACAAACAGCCAAGACAATACTCTGCGTCTTTTTAACCTACCTAATGAGTTATACTCCAGTAACACTGTTGTGCAAGATTTGAAACCTCTGCAGTCTGTTCTTAGGATGCAAGAAGGTGGCTTAATTTATGACTTCTGCTGGTATCCTCTTATGTCGTCTTGGGAACCTCTAACTTGTTGGTAATATTCTAGACTTTCCATCATCCTGTAAGAGCTGTCTGTAAATTGTCGGCTGCCATGCATAGGGATGTATCTACATCCGGATGTTTCAAAATCTCCGTGAATACACCATCTCTAAAATAAAGCATCATAGCATCTTTGGGTTTTGAAACTTTGAGGAATTTCTTATCAATTCCAACATAAATTGTAGTAATATTCTGAGAAATTGGAAAATTTTATCAGTGATGAGTAAAAGGGTCGTGGACATTTTGAAACTGTGCAATGCAGTTACGCTCCCATGTACAGCAGATGAAAGAATGACGCAATGTTATAAGGGATTGACAGTTTTTCTTCAATAGTGTTACTCTTCATCACCAAAACATGCAAAATTGTAGCAGGAAGGGTATAGAGGTGTCTAAAAATTGCAAATTTTTCAAATCATGCGATTCTTAGACGGTTCCTTGGTAATTGATCATTGGACGGTGAACAGGGTCTGAATTGAGCCATTCTTTCTTTTGTTTCTTCATTGAAAGTTAGCCTTCGACGTGATTTCTAATCAGAAAATTTCATTGATCAACCCTCAAATGAGCCGTTTAAGCTAAGAAGCATTGCCTCTAAAAAATGTTGGTGTTTTTTTTTTAAAAAAATTCAAATTGACAAAGCAAAATGTGTGAAAGTAACAAAAAAATTGAGAAAAAATACTGAATAGTAATTTTGACTAAGAATGTCAGGCTGAATGGCAGCCTTATACGCCGGGCTGCAGCCTGGAATGTGCGTTTCATATCCTTGTATGACACAGTGTCAACTGAACTTCTAAGCAAACTCATCATTTAGCAAGCATATGCTGTTTTTTCTGGAATGCAGTGAGATACCCCGATGAAACTCAGGTGCTACCCTTTTCAAATTCTAAGCTAACAGTACATAGGCATGTATGTGATTTCATTTTTGATGCGTTCAATTAGGGGGAAAGCACACTTTGTGTACAAAAAAGAAATAACAAGACATCTAGTCCTGCCATTGAGCATAAAGCAAATACATTTTACGACAGAAAACAAAAATAAAGAAAATGAAAATTGACCTTAAATTTAGGTTGCTAAGAAGGTTTCTTGATGCTGAGCTCTTCTGATCCTTGATACCTAATAAGGGTGAAGAGAGATACGACTGGAAATGGAAGGAAAAGGAAAGGGAAAGATAACAGCTGACAAGGGATGGAGTTTATCAGCTATTTATGGGTCTAGTTGTTTAATCCTAAAGACAATTCACTCTATCCAAAGGGATTAAGCATTGGTGTTTGGTAGGAAAAGTGTAGTACTCAGATATAAATATTGTTCGATTAAATTCATTGTTTCAGTCTGGCAAGCACAAGCGCAAAATCACCAATTCATCTGTGGGATGCTTATAGCAGTGAATTGAGAGCCACATACAGGATTTACGACAAGTAAGTGTTTTTGTCGCTTGTAACTTAAAATTTAATCAACCCTTGTTAACTTGTTTCAATGGTGTTTGTCCTCAACAAGCCTTTAAGGGATTTTTTATGTATCTCAAGTTTTAATCGCCGGATTATATGGATATTCTGTATTATGATGTAACTTTTTGAGCGTAAAATTTGAAAATCCATACATCAATATTGTTGCCTCAAACAAAGAATTTGTCGACCCGTTCCTGAAACTTACAGTATCTACAGGAGCCTATAATGTAGCAGACAAATACCCTGTGGTGAAAAAACTGTTTAGGCCTCGAACATAAATCAATGAATAGTTTTGCACTTAAAAATTTAGAAAAAATTAGCGCTCTTGCGATAAAATTCTTTGGGTTCAACAGGCGCATTTCAAGCTACGGCTCATCATTGGTGCGGCTCTGAACGCGTCTGCCAATACCAAAGAACTTTGTCTTAAGTGCGTTAATTTTTTTAAATTTTTAATTACGTGACAGCTTGTGCAAAAAAGCTCCCTCATTCTATATCAATAGTTTTGTGTTCTTATGCTCCAGCGAATTTATTGTTGAATTGTTATTGAGTAACTTTGATTGATAAATTCCAATCTTAGCAATGCCATACATTAATCAAGGTCATTCAACAGGAATTTAACAATTCAGATGCAGTATTGTATCAATTTTATTCTAACTTATATTTAATCTTTCATTCACAATTATTTCAGTGCAGACGAGGTCACAAGTGCAGTCAGCCTGAACTTTTCTCCAGCGGGAGATCAGCTATTCTGTGGGTTGAAAAATATGATAGCAGTATTTGACACTGCAATCCCTGGGCGCGATTATTTTTCACTCAAAATGAAGGACATGAAAGGAATCATCTCATGCATAGCATTTAGTCCGGTAGCTCATCAAATAATGGCAGCTGGTACTTACAGCAAAGCCCTAGGTACGGCACTTGGTATTCGCTTTCATAATCCTTTCAAAATTTGTTAGATTTGATTAAGGAACTAAGAGGTTAACTTGAGCCACATTGAATTAATTTATAAATAATTAATATTCTTCATGAATGCATATTCTATTCTTAATTTAAGTAAAATTTCCTCTTGGCGGCAAATAATTAATTTTAATCAGTTCCCTCAAAGCATAGAGGCATCAGAATTGAGGCTCTTTGTTTGCTGAAAAGGATTTCTCATCAAGATAAAATAGCTTAACTTCCTTGTTGTAGTTTTAAATTTTGCGCCAAAACATACCCAAGCTGAATCTTCCAGTTGAATTGTCTGCAGTTTTTTGGGTTTTAACGTTACACTCGCACAGACTTAAAGTCCTCAGTCGCAGCTTTGGCGCTTTGAATGATCCAATTTGCAGTAAATAGCTCCATCCGATACATTCCATATCGACAAGGGATGAGATCACCTTGTCTTGTAATCACTCCATGATTGAATTTTCACCACTTTCTGTAGTGTGATTGAAACAGCTCTACCCCAGTAGGGGGCAAAAACATCCTTTTGTGATATCAAATTAATGAAAAGTCAAGGTGAAATTCGGCTAAATTTTTGTTTTTTTATGCTTGAATTTCAGGACTGTTCTCACTTGATGACAACTCATTGATGTGCACCCTAAATGGTCACCGAGGCGGATTGACCCATATCATGTTCTCACCGGACGGCACTAAGCTGTATTCTGGTGCAAGGAAAGATCATGAGATATTGTGTTGGGATCTTCGTAATCCTGGCTCAATCCTATTTTCATTGATAAGATCTGTAGAAACTAATCAAAGAATTTATTTTGACCTCTCTCCGGATGGAAAATATGTTATTTCAGGTATTTTCCCAGTTTTTATTGTTTTATTCTTCCTTTAGTAGAAAATTAGCAGTGACTTTTTTTCTTCCTAAACTTTTGTCACTTTGTAATGAATATCAATTCAAAGTCTTCGAAAGTCACAAATTGCTCTCAATTTGAAAAAAAAAGTATTTTGATCATTTCAAGCAAAAAGTAAGCGGAATAAAGTTTTTCTTTAAAAATTTCCCCCACAAGAAAACTGCTTGCAGGAATTACCTCGAGTCCCTGACTCGAGAGACGTGATCCTCAATCAGTTGTCCAAAAATGTTTGAAATAGTACTGAAGTTTTTACTATAATTCGCCAAAGATACTCTTGTCCAGTCATGTTATGCTTCCTCAGCATGAGTCAGTAATTATTTCTATAAATTGTGCTGATAATTTAATTTTCTAATAGATTATTAAATGATTTTGCCTATGAAATGCTCAGAACATACTATAAGGACGTAGAAAAATTACCTCTAATTTTATCCGATAATTTTTAGTTACTTCAAAAAAGTATGATACAACAGTAAATTTGCAAAGTTGCCAACTTAGATACAAGTTTCTTTAGTTTTACCCGTTGGTAAGCATTATGTTTTGAATTTAATTATTACTGGTTTGATATCTATAGGCACAACCTGCGGGACTGTGAAAGTATGGGATACAACTCAACCTCCAGAGGAAGTCAATGGTATTAGTATCATCCGATGTGCATCTAAATTTCAAGCCCATAATGACTGCGCAAATGGAGTGAGGTGAGAAAAGTTTTATTAACGGTCATTTTTTCTTTTTAATGTACTCAATATATGTACTTATTCTGCTTTTAAAATCATCTCCTCAACGTTTTGTTTTTGAAATGTTGGCTCTTTATTAGGATTAGTAATAGGAATGCAGTTTATCACTGTCTCAATTTTTCTTCCATTCGTCTTGATGTATCTATTTTTTGTACGTGGATGAGGTGTTTCATGTTCTTAACTTCATTTGTTTTTCATTTTTTAGTTTAAATCGTCATCGAAGTCTACTTGCAACATCCTCAGGGCAACATCATGTAGAAAAGAATTTGCTGCCTTTATTAGATGATGAAGAGGATCCTGTTTCCTTGCCCTCTCAAGCGCCAGAAAATTCTTTGAAATTGTGGCAAGTAGGCTCTAGACCAAAATCCAATATAATACTATCTTAATTTTTTACTGTGTATCTTTTTTGTACCTAAATTTTGAACTTTTCTAAGCAAATGAAATGTTTCATGTTTTCAAGCTATCTGATCCTGTGATATTAGGTTTCTATTTTTAAATATCTGTGTTGATTTTCAGTAAAATACTGTAAAAAACCATGTGCGTACGCCCATTACTTCTCCTCTCCCTATTACAAAAGTACAGTAAGCCTCAAGTTTCCAAATTTGATCCTTACAAAAAAATTGATGATCACTGATATTTTCACAGTATATTTTCTCTTCAATTTTTTGTCAGAGTCTTTGACTCGTGTTGGCGCAGTTGAATCTGTTTCTAACAAAGATATTTACTTAAGTTTCTTTCAATATTTTTTTTTAAGAGTCGAATGTGGGATGATAGTAGGCAGGGGTGCAGAAGGTTCTTCGCTGCTTCACATTTTTTAGGTTGCCTCCACTCGCTATCCGCATAAGACTTGCACTTCTTTGTCTCCTTCACATAAAAGAGCGCGCTTAACTATTTTTTTGCCTAAAAAAGCACGTTACACAGTTTCCCACACAAAACGCTATGCACTTCGCTAGTTCTCGCCTTCCTTTTTACCCGGTTTTTTAAGTTGCCTCCACATTTTTTCCCGGTTTTTTCAGGTGCCTTCAAATTTTTAACCCCTTTTCAGGAGCCTTCACATTTGCTCTGCAATTGGCCAATCGAGAACTTTCTGCACCCCTGGTAGTACATTTCTATCAAGCACAGTGACCTATATTCGTTGAACAAATTAATATTTAAAAATAAAAACTAAAACGTCACAATAGATTTGGGCGGTATTCAAAACAAACAATTCAGTTGAGAGCTGAGGTTAAGGGAATATTTTAGCCGCAGAAGCTGCCATCAAAAGTTTTTGGTGATAGAGGGGTTTATTACAAGAAAGTATTACAAAAGTTGAGAAGTTTTCGGAAAGTTTATTTGACGAAATAAAATTATATCAAACAAAGATGAGAACAGTGCAACTACTCTAATACATAGTTATCTATAAATAAACAGCTTAAACATTCAAATTGCTGAACCGAATGTTCGAACATGAAAATAACAAGGACATTACGACTGCTAACTTGACAAAAATACTTATTGATTAAGAAGTTGAAAATATGGTCCAGAAATGTACAAATAAAGTGTAATAATCAAGAAATCACTTTTTCAAAGCTAGGTACAATAATTCATTCTTAGTTTAATACTTCACTTGATTTTGCTGAATATTATAATCATTGTGTGTTTAGAAAATGACCGACTGAACCTGAGTCAGAATGTAAAATTGAGACCCATAATCCAATCCCAGAAAAATTGAAAAGTTTGCAAGGACACAGTTAGATTTTCCTCCCATTTCAAATTGGCAATCAACGGACTACGAACAGTCAAGACCAAATGCAAATCCGAAAATGCAAGAGCTATCAATCTGAAAAGCAAAAATGCGCTAATTTGGTGGCAAAGAAATGCTGGGGAGTGACTGTGCTTTTCAAGAATCGAGAGACAAAGCTCAAGTCTATAGAATACGAATTACGAGACCTGCTCGATTGAAATTTTCTAGAGGAACCAATAAGAGAAGTCAAATGCAGGGAAGCTTATGATTATTTCGAATTACCGCTACAAGATGTAACTAAAGTAAGAGGGACTAGAAAGTTTTCAACAAAAAATTTGGACTGAAAAATGCAACAATATACTTCACTTTAGAGTTATAAAAATGTACAAAAATATAAGTACTTACTAGAACAGTTATTTAATTTGACTCGAGAAGAAACTTCAGACAGATTTTCAAGGAAAATTCAATCCCTCGTGTTGCTTTGTTCTTGCATCTCACCATTCTTATTGACTCTGAGCAGTACTTCGCTTACTCGGCAATATTACTTCTAAATGTCATATTGCAGAAGGTAAGAGCATGTCTTCTAGTCAATGGCGTACAGAATCGATGGCATTATCATACAGTTACAGATAAAGTCGATGCAAAAAAAATGCAATGGACCATTGGGGAAGGTCCGCACTAAAAAAAGTCACATGTTTTCTCTTCAAAATCCAACGAGCAATTCACACAGCAGGGAGTTTGGAAATCAACTACAGAACAAGATATTTAAAAATAGATCGGATGGAAGTAAGAATATACGAATGACATCATTTTGTATTTCTATCATTTATCCAGTGATAATTGTGAACACTTGTATCTTTTTTCAGAAGTTGATTTTCAAACTTCTCGTCCCATGATTCCTTTTTCTTGTAGAATTTGAAGAGAGAACATGGAACATGGTGCTTCAATTCATACCTTGTCTTGAGGTCCATTTTATCTTGACTATTCTGTGGTTTCAGGAAAAGCGGAATTAGAATTTGCGCCAAAAGTGTAGAAGTTCATAAGATGATATCAAGAGTCAAAGAATAGGGCGTTGAAAATTACTATCTAAGATGTTATTACCAAGCGACAAAAATCACCAGGTGCTAAGCAATCTGAGAAGCTTGTTCGATAAATCATCTGGATTTTGTAGTGGAGCGGACAGATAAAGCAACAAAATTAAGTTGAAAAATTGTGCTTAATCATGGTAAAAATGTTAAAACTTATGATTAAAAGAGGAGTCCATGATGGACAGCAGGGTCAGAAAGGTAAAAAAAACAAGTATTGCGAACAGGTTTCAAACTATTTGACTGATAAAATGACTCTCTCACTTTATAAAAAAAAATTGCCTTTATCTTTCGAGAGCTCTGCTCTTATTTACTTAGGATACTTTGAAAAGAACTTGAAATCAGTATCAGTTATAATACATTAAGGATAAAGCGAGAGAGTTGAACTGATTTTATAACTGAGCTTGCTCTTAGAGAATTTTGAAATACCTACAGTGTTCTAAAAATAATACACTTGGACACATTTATACAAACGTCAAACAAAGACAATAACAATAAGCCTGCTGCATAGTCAGCAAGATACTAAAATAAAACCCCCAAATCCCACAACATAAAATTTGTACAACTCTTCATATGTCTTTGTTTAAAACTGATGGTTACCGCTATTTACAATGAAGGATAAATTTTGATTTGGACTTAAAGTTACCCGGGTATAAAGAAATTTACAACATAACTATCAGCATGAATCTCGAGAGGACATTTTTAAGTTAATTCACAATAAAGTAAATGAGAGGCATAAGTGGTACTCTCGAGAAAATTATAATTGAATTGTGGATTGGCGAAATAAATTATTTGAAATGAATGAAATCTCCTCAGTGCTATTTATGCACAATTTCAGAGAGGTTGGCACACGAGTGAGTTGAAACTTACTTGGTTCAACTGTCAACTGACAGAGGGATATTCTCGATGTTTGTCCGAGAGTTGTGCTGAAGCTTCACGTTGCCTCTACTTTCGATCCCATTGGTGTATGGAGCGCTTTTCCGCTCATCACAGTCTGGGAAACTTTTGGAATGACTCATGCCACTACTTTCGAGTGACTTATTGATAAAGGAGATTTTCTCAAGCGTAATGAAGCTTGGATAATCGCCGGCGTTTGTTTGCCTACCTGTGTCGAACGAGATGGAACGTTTTTCTCTAATACTGCTCTTGGCTGCAAGATCCTCAAGGGATTTTTGCTTCTTAGAATCACTTAGAGATTTATTATCACAATTCACAACTTCACAAGCCGTTGAATCCGGCTCACTTGCGCTGCTCTCTATTTTCAACTCCATCGATTGGCCAGACGCTTCACTTACTTCGTGTGACTCCATCTCTTCATTTCTAATATTTTCTTTTTCTGAAGCTTCGTCACTTCTCGAAAACTCTCTGAGATAGTCATCTTGTGAACTATAGCTGCCGTCTTTCTCTAGAAAGTCACTACCGGATGACCCATCATCAGTTTCATTGTCATACTTAGAGGAAGAACTAATATCGTCATCAGAGGTTTCACCATAGCTACTGTTTGCCTTTCTTTTCTCCGGCGACAACCTGTTGACTAAAGTGATCTTATTTGTATTTTTACAATTCGAGTTTATTAAAAGATACTCCTCATGCTCCAAGCTGATGCCTCCATTCTCACCATCAAAGTGGCTTCCGCTTAAATTGCTATGGATGGAACTTTCCGAGGTGAAACTTGACGCTGAAAACTTAGGTGATGCAAAATCTTCACCCCCCGTGGTTGGGATCTCAGATTTTTCAGCATCCACAATATCAAAATGCTCTGACTTCTCAAAGAACTCAAAATCAGAGTCAAAATTGACAACCTCATTAGGATCCATTATTTTCAGTGATGACACACCACTCATTTCTGAGGGTAAAAATTTGCAACTTTCTGGGAAATGATCTCCATTAGCAAAAACATTTTTGACCCAAATGGGCGAGTCGTTGCCAGGCAATTCATCCCAGTTGTAAGCAGTTACATACTGTGAGTTGTAATTTGGTTCCTCTGAAGCATTTGTATTATTGTGAGAACTGCCTACTCCTTTAGGACTCGGAGAATTTGACCTCACTTTCTCCCCATTGAAAGAAATGGAGCGAGGCCTCAAGGCTGGTTTTTTATCTTTCTTGCTCATGGAAGACTGAGAGTGCAAGCGCGACTTTGGTTCGGTGCGATTGACCTGGTCTTGTCGAACAGGAGAGCTGACACTAGAATTGGGTTGCGACAATCCACGCCCACTCTGTTTCCGCGCTAACCTGGACATCACATCTTCTGACGGGTCATCGATCTCAAGGACCCAAGAAACCGAGTCGCTTTTCTTAACAACGCTAATGACTTTTGGTGACTTTGGTTCAGACTGCTCATCACTTGAGCCAGTGTTTGGTTTTTTCACTGCAGAGATTACTTGGGGTTGACCTTTCAACTCCTTTGACTCGTATTCCCGGTTCAAATTGCGGCATAGTTTGTTAGACTTTGGTTCTAAAGGTGTGGATGAAGCAGCTGCAGTGCCTGAGAGGAGGCCTGAACCATCCACAAAACCTGGAAAAATGAAGCAAAAAAACTATTAAAATTGTAATTTAAAGGAGGAACACTTCACGTATATCTATCATGAAAAAGAATGCACTCAAACATACACAGAACTAAATTCCCTTTCCCTGTTCAAACCATTTAGAAGGGCGGCTAATTGAATCCATATTTTAATGAAGGTGATGGATCCCAGGTTGTAGTTGATCACAAGACTTTATTCAGTTATACAGAGTCAGGGAAAGGGTGCTCAACAAAATTTGAGGAATTTTGTTTCATGCTTCTGGTCAAAATTACATCTGGTTTGAAATTTTGTTGTTTGAATTGTCAAAAATTAGTAAATCTTGGCAATTTTTTGCCTGCAGCTTATGCTTTCTGTGGTATCCAGATTTTTAATAAAAACGTACCAATTCCGATAAAAATTTGGAAACTCTGAAAGCCATTTTCCGGGAGAAAAGGGTAGGAGGCCTTTTAAAAATTTAATACTTTTTTTACCCCCTCATTGCTCTCCCCATAAGCCCCAATGATTCCATCTACAGTACTCTCTTGCTATAACGAATCGGCGAAGGATCGGGTGATTTCTTCGCAAAAGAGATATTTTCGTTATAATGAGTGTTGTTATATCAAGAGAATACTGTATATATATTTGAAACAGTTCCTTAATCATAGCTGTAATTTTTCCACGGCATTTTGAGAAAACGTCATGACTTACCTGATAAATCTTTAATACTGGCCAGATGAGAAGCAACCTCCTGGGTCTTCTTCAATTTGTACTGTAGTTCCTCGACAGTGTAAGTCAGCTTCTGTTTCTTTTCACTCTCGCAGTGTAATGAATCACTCAGCATTCTATTTTCCTCGCTCAATTGCCTTAGGGACAAAGAAAATTGCAACTGTTAGAAAATACTGACAAAGTACTACTAAATATTTAACTTGAATTATTTAAAAAAATGGGAAGGAACTTACCAATAAATTGCTTATTAATTCTTTAATCCGTCTGAGAGGAGTCTCAATATCAAAATTCAATGATGTGAATTATAACAGGAAATCCGTACTTTTATAAAACTCGTCTCTTGCACTAAGAAACGTATCTTGATTGCGTTGTTTCAGTATCTCATGCTGATATTTAATTTTTTTCATGAGAGAGGTAGCACCTGAATTTGCCTGGAAATTTCAGTGATTTTCCTTAGCACTTGTGAGAGAAAAAGAAAATTCTCATACAAATTCATGAAATGGTTCTCCCACGAAATCATGAAATGTCTGTAGAGATGCTGAAACATCACTTGCAAAATACAATTCCTCCTTGCAGGAGATGATGAACTGTGCACTCAAAAATTCTATCAAAATTAAAATTTAGAGATAGAGAAACGCATGTTTTCATCCAACAGCTTCTGTCGCTCTATACGTGAGAGAAGAATTAATATTAATTTTGAAAATTACATTTTTTAAGAGCTTCGCATGAATTATATGATACTAATAATAATTGAGGGAGGCATAGGGGAGTTTCCTATATATGAAAAAAAAAAAAAAAAATCATAAAGTTACCACCATAGGAACTCAAATTCAAACATACTTCCTCTAGTACAATTGTGAGGAGCAGTGGTTTTAATCATTCTCTCTGAAATAATGACAAATGTTAAAAAATGAACCCTGCTACCATATTGATGGTCAAAGTAAGAAACCACAAATCTCCGTTAGCGACGCTATAGACTTTCGGTCATACTTCACTTTATCTTTGGAAAACTAGTCAGCAAAATTTCTTGAAGACTTCTTTGATGTTTCTTCTCTGTCAGCAAAATATTTTTTTTAAAAACTTTAAGCTGTAAATTAGGCTTTTCTTCGAAAAAATAAAATAGAAGCAGAAATTTTGAAAAACTGCAATGGAAATACGTGATTTTGTACTTTAGGCATCAATATAGCTTGAGAATCCTCTTGTGCAAAAGACTATGCGTCAAGTACACTACTGAATGAACATAAAGTAAGTAAAAAAAAAGCTGGAAAGAATTTAAATTTATCAAAATCGTTTATAAAAGATGCATAAACGATGTGAACATACTTTTCAAAGAGTGCTTTCCTCTGGAGTTGTGCGCTCAGATCTTCCACTCTGGCCTGGGCTGATACCATTTTTTGCCTGATCAAAGGCATTTCGCTGATTTCAGCTTGGAGGCATTCATTCTGTTTGCGCAGCTCTTGTAATTCGGCGTGCCGGATATCTAGAACAGTCCTGAGGGAATCCACTTCATCTTGTAACTTGCGACAATACTGGCTGGTAACCTGAAAATGAGAAAGTGTATACCCATTAATATAAAAGTGAAAAAAAAGAATAATGGACAAGACAGATATTCAGGTGATAATGATGTTATAGCCATAAACATAGAGGCTTTGACCTTTTCATCTGGATCTGGAAAAAAGGAGATTTTCCACAAAGATTTTTCAGTAAGAGTATTGATTAGAGACCGAATTATCAGTCGGTATTTGTGTAATTGTGTAATTGTGAAATTAGTGTAGATGAGAAAAAAAGGTATGAAAAAATTAGCATTAAAAACTTGTTGAATTTTAAAAATTGAATAAATTGATGTAATTCAATGGAAAACATGCAACATTAAAAACTAAAAATCTGAATATAATTTTTGTTAAAAGTTATTGAAATAAAATTATAAAATGGATTGGTGTAATTCTTTCAGAATATACAATAAAAACTTGTAAAAAGTGAGGTGACTTTTTTACACAAAGAAGAACAAAAAACTATCCTGATTCATATATTTCAGCAGTTTTTTTAAAATATTTTTCTCTTCAAAATTAATATGTTTTTCGACTCATTTTTTTGACCAGGGTCTTTATAAACTGTCTCCTCTCTTCCCCTCATTAAAACCCAAAATAAGGGTAAATTTAATGGTCGATTCCGGAGCTTCACAAACCTGAACTTTTGAGTCTCTGTCGTTCTGCATTCCATCAACAATGGACCGTGACTGCTCTCGCAAAGCATCATGCTGTTGTTCAATCTCATTCAACCTCTCTCCTAATATCTTCTCTCTTTCTTTGGCTTCATCTGTCACTTTCTTCAGGCGAGCCTCGCTTTCCAACTTGTATGCATTGAACTCTTCTTTTGCCTGCCGGGAGATTGTTTCCTTCTCATCCGCATGCTTTTTGTGAAGACAGTCTATTTCAATGGTAAACTGCGTCCGTAATTCAGTTGACTGCAACAAGCAAAATTATGTACAATCAGCGAAGGTCAAAAACAGCGCACTATCAACAAAAAACATCTGCAGACGAACACAATTTCAGGAAGTTCATTCGAACTGCTACCTACATGAAAGGAAAAAATTAAGAGTGGAGGGTGAAAATCATGTTCTCTGCGAAACAGTATAAAAATCTTGCTTCTTCCCACAGCCAGATTTGCTATTGGGCAACAGAGGGTATAGCAAAGGGCGATATATCATAAATTGAGCTTTCCAGAAAAAGGGCCCGTAGCAGATATTATGTTACGAGAAAATGCATTCCAAGTTTTTATTGGTACTTTCTGGCCACTGACAACAACTTACATTGGAACTTGGACACTTCATAATAATAAAAAAAAACAACCTTTATTAAAAAAATTTCAAATAATAAGTTACAATGCAAATTCCTGATGGCTAATCCCTTGGTGGGAGGACCACCGTCTGGGAGAACTTGGACACTTATATCAAATTTTATACATCCAAGAATAAAACTTAAATGTATTTTTCTCAAAACATGATTTTTGCAATGAGCCCTTTTTCTGAGGAGCTCCTCAACAATACATTCAAAACGCAAAATTGTTAAGAATTTATACAGAAAATGCAGGTGCGAATATCTTCAATCTGAAATATACTTTTTGCACCTAAAATTATCCTTCTGATCTGGGAAGGGGTGAGATAAATTTGCCATCATTACATGTTAGACCCACAAAAAGTAATTCAGAGTTGCCGTAATTTCTTCATCATCAAATTTCCTCACTTTTCCCTGACTCCAAAATTTTCGAATTCCCTGACATTCTAATAAAACTTCCACTTTGACTTTTTTCCTTTTAAATTACTCTCACTTCTGCTAAACGCACCTTGCAAAATTCCCTGACCACTGGCAACCCTGGTACTTAATGTCTAGCCAGTGTTTCAACTGATCAGGGACATTTTACCAGACACCCAGATGAAATATTTTTTGGTGATATAGTATTTTCAAAATATCTTGATGTTGCGCAGAGAGGAACACCTACCTGTTCATTGAGCCGTCTTGTTAATTCATTTAATTGATCTTCATGAGTTTTGGACACTGCAACACAAAAAATATATGCGATGATTATAAAGAGAATTATTGAACCCTGCTTGAGATACCTAAATGAAACAGACTTCAAAGAAAAATCGTTCTCCCTCTTTTATATTTCAAACATCATCAGTTCATCACCACATGTTTTAACTCCTGCATTTAGGACACCTTCCTTCATATTTTAAAACTGTCATAAATGTTTCATTCTTGTTTGAAACTACCCATTGTATGAGAGGATAAACAATTTGATTGCACTTGTGTGCCCACCTGCATCTTTTTTGAAAATTAATTCTTTTCAAATTGAACCCCTTGTATCTCAAATTAAATTTACAGAGACATTTTGGCAAGTAAATCAATTTGGTGTAAGAAAACTTTGAATGGTCTATTACTCATTGATTGATTTTGTAGGCTGGCTTTATACTTTTAAGAGTTTTTTCTCTAATCTTCACTTTTTTTTCTCAGCAATACAGCAAGGCATGACAAATGGTACCATTTGACATTGCCTATAAGAAAAAGAGTGATTGCATTTCTCGAGATTTGGAAATTTGTTTTTCATTTTAACCGTTTTGATTAATCTTAGAGGATTTTTAGATGCTTCCTAGAATGTCACCCTTGCCTTTTCCTCTTCTAGTTTAATCTGTTAAAGATGATCTCTGGGAATCAGATAGATTCGGAATAAAATGATTATAATGTTTGAGAGAAATTCGTCCAAACTTACATCTTTCTAATTCTTCCCTGTGTTCACTTTTCAGCTGTTCTAATTGCTGGACATGTTCAATGTGGAGCTGCTCCAACTCTTCCTTACTCTCCTCCGCCAATTTCTTGATTGCACTTTCGTTTTCACATTGTTGAGATGAAGTATCATCTTGCAACCGCCTATAGCTCACCTGAGTTTCTTCTGCAAAAGAAAAAAATATTGATTATTTAAAAAGAAATAATAAAAAAAAAAAAAAAAAATGAGGCTTTGACATTTTTTAAAGAAATCTGCATTAGGCTGGTTGGAATTTACAAATGGTTCGATGATGTTAGAAAAATATACCATTTAGCTGTTCTCCCTGAATTTTGAAATGTTTTAATTGATGTTTGAATTATTTTACTCTGAGCTGTATTTAAACAATTATGAGAACTTGGGAAAATTAACAGCAATAACAGCAATCAGGGCCGGATTTTCCTACTTGCCGCCCATGGGCCGCCTGCATTTTGCCGCCCCCTTCTCATTCGTTTTGAAACATCAATAAAAACCATCAAGTGAACGTGCCAGCGGGGGAGGGGTGCATAAGACGCGTGTACTGGTGTTGAAAACAATTTTTGGGAAAGCCCTGTCAACACTACTAGCAAAAGGTCACGGAACTTTGCGCGAAAGTCAAGTTTCGTAAACCTATCTCTAATGGACAAGGCCTTCCATTCATAAGAAATGAACGAAAAAATTATGAAAGAACAAACACAAAATTTGGTTTAATGATTTTAACTTCCGCCGCCGCGCCGAGCCGACCACACCGTGTTTGACGCAATGCGTGAAGTATTCACGCAGTCTTGTAGGCGCTATGCGTTATTTCACGCGGACCGCACTGTGTTTGGCGCAATGCGTGAAGTATTTATGCATTCTTGTAGGCGCTATCCGTTTCACGCTGACCACAATAACTGCACAGTGTTTGATGCAATGCGTGAAGTATTTGTGCAGTCTTGTAGGCACTAATATGTGTTATACATGCCGATTGCCGCGCCGAGGGCTTCTCCTTTTCATCTCAAGTCCTCGTCATCATTTCTCCCCAAGTCGCACCGTTCCAGGCCAAATTGTGTGTTTGGTTTCTCTCTTAACTCGACTAATTAAAGATGCTGTCTCTTGTATCACTGAAAGACGACAAAATTAGAAATTACTATACTCTCAGGAAATGAGAGATTTTGTAGCCTTTTCTCGTTTGTAATTTTTTATTTCTAAATCGGATTTTTTTTTATACCTACATTTAAAAAAAATTCAAAATTTGCCGCCCCTTAGATTTGCCGCCATGGGCCGCGGCCCATGTGGCCACCCCCTTAATCCAGCCCTGACAGCCATAGCACCAAACAATGAAAAAACTACCTGAAGCTATACCATATTTTGTCTTTTGACTACAATGTGCATTGTTCTTTTGACGATAGCATACGATAACATACCTAATTCGAGTTTGGTTTTCAGCCATTCTTCTTTCAGCTTGGAGAGCTCTTTTCTCAGGGCAGGAGTGGAAAAGGCATCCAACTGTGAAAAAACAGAAGAAAAAAGAATTTTAAAATAACTATCCAATTGAACATTATTGTCACATGGTTACAAGAAAGGAGAAGATGAAAAAAATTCAATTGGAACACTGAATGTTTCGAGATGGTAGATGGTCTGGTGCTGTCTGTCCAGGATGAAACTCCGGAAACACATATATTCCTTCACCAAGTTTCAAAATATTCTCTTTTATACGATTTTTATTTTTTAGTGAACGTAAATTTTCCACCATATTTGTACATATGAAATTTTAAGAGAACATTGTCACAAAAGCGTGGACAAATTGCAAGAAACTACGAGAAGTAGTTACTGAAGATTGGTCGGTGATAATCATCATTCAGAACGGTCACATGTAATGTCAGAATGTGACGGAAAAATCCGAGTACAGCGTGTTTTTCTAGTTTTGTCATTGATCTTCTGGGTAATTTCTTCAAAACGTTAATGTTGATGCGTTCAAATTCCTTGATCGGAAGGTATGTTAAAGAGGTAAGTTGTGATGATCTCACTGGTACAAGAAATTTGCTCTTTTTTTAAATCTATAGAAAATTATGATGGTACTTCCTCGTGATTTTTAATGCTTTGTATTGACATGATATTTTTAAAACAAATTTCACGAAAAATTTAAGTCTCCTAAGATGAAAAAATGCAATATAATGGCTACAAGAGAGAATTTTAAACGGCAAAATTCACTGACTTTTTGGATTGGGCGAATTCCGCGATACTCACATCAGATGTTAAATACTGTAGGAGGACACTGAGCGATTCAACAGCCTTGGCCGCATGCTTCAGCTCGGCTTGAGCCCGACTGGTTGCGGCGAGCCCGTTTGCAGGCGCCGCGACCGCCTTGGCCGCCGGGTGCGTTGCTGCATTCGTATTATTCTTGCACGTGCTGTTGTTATTGTTGTTGTTGATGTTGTTGTTGTTGGTGGCGGGGGTGGGGGTAGGGGCGGCAGACGACTTCTGCGCCCCCTTCCGCCTCAGGGAGCCCCCGTGCCCCGCCTCCGGCTTCGGCGGGCTGGTGATCACATTCGGGCCCAGGTTGTTCGCCACTCGGTTTTGATCTGCAACAAAATAAGAAGTCCTATTAGATCACAGTGCCTACAATTTGTAATTTTTTATAATTTCACGTTTTCATTGATGTCTAGAGATAAATATACGGATTTCCGGAGGAAAATTCTCTGTTTACCTTGTAGAAAATGTTCTAATTTCCGGACAGAAGTGGGGAAAAATTATTCGGATATTATTCGGTCAAGCAGAAACGTCCGATCAATCGTCAATCGAATAATTTGAGGATTGATATTCGCGCCCAACTATGTTTCCAGAAGAGATGAAGATCCGCAGTTTCCTCTCTTTTTCTTCCAGATCCTCTTGAATTCGTATTCTTGGCGTTCTGAAGAAGATAATCGTAATTTTTTCATCTTTTGTTTAATCCTTTAAAGTTGAGTAAATTTCATCGGATTTTCAGGTTCCTCTCCACATTTTTTAGGAAAGTTGCTCCTCAGAATTCAGAATAAACATTAATTTGTTCACTTTTGCCTAGTTTAGAGAGTATTACAAAAATTTGACCACATTTCTCTCGCGTGGATTTACTTATGCTGCAAGTATGACGGTGAGAGTCTTCGAGTAATAAAATACGCGTGATGAGTCGTCTTTTAAACAAAGGCAAATTTCGAACGAAGATGCTAGGATCTAGGAAATCGTCAAACTTCTGGGTTTCGAGCGCTGTGCATTCAAGAAGAATAAGGTACAGTATTCGTATGTATAATTGGATGATGAATTCGAAATTCCTTATAACTGAACTTTTGAAGGGCAAGAGGCAGAGAGAACACTTCCTTGGGAGAGTTTTTCCGAAATTTCAGGTTTTCGAGACCGCGTAATTCTACCCATAAAAAAACTGCGCATAAAATATCAAACTAAAATTCACAAAATGACGAAAATTCAAATAAAATCACAGGAAAGAGAGCTGCACTTTACTTCTGAACATATTAGAACGGAACGCATCTAGAGAGAATTTACCTGGAGCATTGAGCTTCGCAATAGTAATAACATAACGCCTTGACAGCATGATACAACTATTCGTACTTTATGGATGTGCGTGTTGCATGTGCAAAATACTGAAGGCACCCTGGCTGCTCTATTACACATACCATTCCTTCGCCTTTAATAAACTGATAAAACCGAGCAAGGAGGGCGGAGACGCGGAGAGGCATCTTTAGAGCGGGGTGGGGGTCGGGGGTCCTAGTGCCCTGAATCTTCCGCCCTGGATCGCCCTTAAACCTTCTTAATGAATTATTAAAAAAAAAAAAAAATCTTGAATAAGGAGAGAAAGAGAGAAACAGAAAGTGCTAAAGCGAATAAAATGTAAGAACTTCGGGGCGCTAATCGTTTTCCTGTAAAATTTTTACGAGAGAACAGAACAAGATCCTTTTAATTGAAATTTGCCTAGTTGGTTTAAGTAAGTTGTTATGCCTGGAGTTCGAAATATCGTACTGTCGTACACATTAAAAAACATTTAAATAAGACACTTATGTCGGTTCTCATAGATTGAGGTGTTGACGCGCCTTCCAAAACTAGATCTAATTCGTGAGCGAAAGTTGTCGATTCAAACCTGTCGGGCTATCATGGCACACCTTGGAATGCACTTTAACGGCAGACTTCAACGCTTCCCACAACAACATCTGCACCATGCTTGCTAACCGCACCTCTGTCGATTCCTCCTCAACAATTACGAAACTTACTTCCCCCGTTTATATTTGCCGGAACGTGCCTCGAATCCAACCACAAAAGGTTCTACATTCTTAAAGAGTCCAAAAAGTTTCGTTTTTCTAAAGAAAAGTTTTGAATTGATAAGAAAAAATCCGAGAACGAACAGCACCACGACGATTTCACCGAGCTTTGATGGAAATTTGGAAAAGCTTCCGATTAAAGTTATGCGGCATCGAACATCCGGACTCTTGAATCAGCTGTTCAAGTAACCCACCAAACAACGATGCATTAAGTCTAAATATGCGCATCTCCTTTGCAGCGTTTCAAAATCGCTGATTTCCTTTTATCTCTTAAAAGACAACTGACGAAAAATTCTTCTTAAAATTTTCTATCGACTGAAGAGAATTCACAGAATATTTCAAGAAAAACTGCTGTTAGGTTTCTTTAAAAATAAATTGAACACATTGACGGATCCAGCAATTAGGCAACACCGGATTTCCTCCATTTAAACCTATGGAAATGAATCGATTCTTAGAGGGGCCAGGTGACAAGAATCGATTATTTAGCATGGGTTTAAATGGAGGAAATCCGGTGTTTCCAAATTGCTGGATCCGCCTCTGATTAAACATGAGCGGAAATTGGCAATGACGCAATCGAATATTGTCATTTTTGGGCGTTAGCCATTGAAATATTCGATTAAATAGGCGGCAAGTTCCACGTTGACATGGAAAGAATCCCCTATTGTAGGAAACGTTGAATGAAAGTTATTGCGATGAAATTGACAACATAGATTTGTAGAATACGTGTTTAAGGCATCGCATTCAATGATGGGAAAAATGAATTGCGGCATAGAATGGGTGTCAAGTTGCAACGGCGTGACAGCCTTCAGATTCGAAAAAATCACGCCACGCTATTGCTTACATACAAGAGGGTTCCCGCATAATGTTGTCTTGTAATAGGACGTATTTACCTGCTGAAAGGAACTATGTTCCACGCGAACCCTATACACATAGTTCCTCGGAACACATAGGAATTATACTAGATTCTGGATAAACGGAATTACGGAGCTGTGCAATACCAAGAAGTTGGTGCAAAACACCAATTGGACTGCGTTGAACAGAAAGTAACCAAGCCACATCAGCTATTGTCAAATTTAACTGGGCAATTTAATTTTTTACGATAGAACGTTTGTGTGGATTCCTCGGAAAATGTTTAGGAATTTGCTTTCGTACTATGGAGAAAATTAACTGAGATTTCAACGAAAATCTGCAAAACTGTTTTCATAGAAAAAATTAAATTGCCCAATTAAATTGGGCAATTGCTGATGTGGCTTGGTTCCTTTCCGTTTAACGCGGTCCAAATTGGGTTAGCTGTGTCGAAATCATTCAACCCTTTTTGTTCGATGCGCCTCCTCGCTAGGTTAATCAGTACAGGTGCTCTGACAAGAATCGATTATTTAACATAGGTTTAAATGGAGGAAACCCGGTGTTGCCAAATTGCTGGATCCGCTTCCGTCTGCGCAGAGCCTTCGAGAAGAAAGCTACACGATATCAGTCAGTGGTGCACAGTGCATCTTATACGAATGATTTCGGACACAGACAATTTCCTCGCGGTACATCATCGGAAATTATGCATGAGGTTCCGAGCTTGAATTGCGAATCTTGCCTGGAAACAAGAGTTAATGGCGTACTTTTCTCAACAACTTCCGTTGTTCTGACTTTTGCCCTCAACACCAACACTGACCCGCGTGGGCTGCGAGATGCACCTCCATCGGACGAGTGTAGGAGTGGACGTATCGCGTATCAGAGCAGCGGGTCGGATTATCGACTCGTTATCGAAAGACCTTGATCGATAGATAGCATTGCCAAGATGGGGATTATCGATTGAGGTCATCAGATAACGGGTCAACACTCGAAACGCTGGCTTCGGAACTCGCAAGGTGATGCGTAGATATAGTGCTGACGTGCTGAGGAAAAACGCAGCAAAGTGGATCGAGTCATTGGCGGATCTAGCAAATTGGCAACATTGTTTTTCTCCATTTAAACCTATGGAAATGTATCGATCCTTCGAGGGGCTAGGTGCTCCGGCATGAATCGATTATTTAACATAAGTTTAAATGGAGGGAATCCGGTGTTGCCAAATCGCTAGGTCCGCCTCTGGATCGAGTCAATGTGAGAAGTTGAACAAAATTTGGAAACTTTAAAAACTCATGACTTCGTTCATACAAAATTTTGAAGTTCTATAGGTGGATCCATTGATAGTCTCGTGAAATTTTCTTTTAAATATACACCCATTAAAATTGAAAATGTGACGAATTAAACATTAAAATTTTCAGTTTTAGTCAAAAATTCCAAGTCTGACCTCTCTGATTGACTCGATCCACTGTGCACAGTTACATTGCCATACTAATAAAAACCTCTGAGCGAGATCCTGCAGAATCCGTGAGCTGTTTTCATGGAGTCAACGCCAAACATCTTTACGCACTCTTAGACTGCGACAGAAGATCCTTGATCATTGCATTCACTTTCAATGCTGAACTAACGTCACAAGACTTTCTGTCGCACCTCTGAAGAGCGTAAACTTATTTTGCCGGGGACTTCACGTCTCAATGCCACAGTGGTAATAGGGCTGGGTCCAAACTATTCAGCGTGGAAAGCAAGGTCAAATAATTCCGAGAATTTCAATTCGGGTCAAAAAACGGCTCACAATCAGTCAGATGCATTGAAATACTATTCTGGGGTCACGCCAAGGAATATTAAACGTTTTGGGTCTTTTTGGACCTCGCACTAACTTGTCAGTCACACTGCTAATCTGCCTGAGCTGAACACTTCTCAGTATTAGACTGATATACTCGATGGAGCTCAAATTTTTGACCCTGATTGAATGAAGTGTTTGGAATTTTCGGCCTTGCGATCCTTGCAAAATGACGTGGACCCAGCACTGTGTTGCTACAGTTACATACAGTTCGGGACACATTTTTAATGGATTTTTGTTTGTTTTTTGTCTCAATGGACCACTAGACAAGGTACGAATTTCAGCTTTCTGATACATGTTTCTCAATCAAAATTTCACGTAGAACACGATACGCACAACGAAAATCGCCAAAATCAACTCCTGACGAAGATATTCAATGATTCTTGATGCGTGAATTCAAACCACCCGCTCATGAAAACTCAATGCTCCACGTGATTCACATCGCGCGCTAAATGTTTATCATGACAGTCTCTGCGATGTAAAAATCTTCAACTTCAATCTTGACACTTTGACTCAGCTATAGCAAATCACCAATAGTTTGAACAACACATGGTGGAAAATGAACATTGCTCGATTGAGAAGCTTGCTGAAACCGTTGTAG